CTCATAAGTTGGAGTTGCCCTCCTCACAAAATATACAGAGGGTGCCCTATATCACACAGGAGAAAGCTATGTTGACGCCGTGAAGCGCCTAGAGCGTGATAATTTAGAATTCAGAAGGCAAATAGCCGAATTGGAGAAAGTGCAGGGACAGTTGGAAAGCAAGAATGCAGAGCTGGAGGTATCAGCCATCAAAGACCTCGACGAGAGGATAAATCTAGAGTTACGAGCCGCAGATGGTGATGCGGCACTCGAAAAAATGAAGGTATGGCAGGAAGAAGAAGAAATTCAAATCATAAGAATGAACGGTTTACTTGTAGAGAGGAGAAACCTGGCCCTTCAAGTCACTCGTCAGGAAGATCAAGTGATCGAAAAAGACAAGCAAATTCAGTCTCTGACTGTGACGGTTGAACAGCTACAAGCTGTTGTTGATGCGGGGCCGGAAGGGGCGGGTGCTGACAATCTTCTCTTACGAAAACAATTGGAAGAATTTGGAACAGAAGTAGCCGAACTAAAGCAGCAGCTAGAGGGTAGCAAACAGGAAGCTATCAAACAGGAATCAGCCTTTACTATCAAGCACACGAAGTTAGTGGATGAATACGAAAGTTTGAAAAAACGATTAGAAGTAATTTCACGTCAAAAAGAAGATGCAATTGTGGAGACTTTCAAAAACAAGGAGATGGAAGGATTCGAAAGGAAAAAGTATGACTGGGTACAGGGGCGACTAACACAGGCTAGAGAGGAAGTCGCAAAAACTTTCCAAAAACAAATAGAAGAACTTCAACTTCAAGAGGCTAAAACGAAACGAGAACTAGAAGCTGTCAAGGAGGACCGAGAAGCTATCAAGAACGAACTAGTTATTGCCGAACAAAATCGAAGACAATTGGATGAACTGAAGAAAGAGAATACTGCATTGAAAAGCCAAATGCAGGAACTTCAAAGAGGTTTAGCAGTAGTCAGACTCAGGGGACGGTTCCAAAAGTGCAAAGAGGAACTTGCCGAAGCTAAGAAATCAATCGAAGATTTGAAGCAGCAACTCACAGCCAAAGAACAACAGCCTGGAGGAGATATTGGAGCAAAAGAGAACGAGATTAGTCGTCTAAAGCAAGGGACAGAGAAATTGGAGAGTGAGATTCAACGTCTGAAGCAAATCGAGGAAAAAGGACCACAAGACGACACTGAATTATCAAATTTAAGACACGAAGTTGCGCAACTTAAAGAGCAGGAAGAGAATTGGAAAACCGAATCTAACCTGTTGATCGTAGACATGCAACAAAGTGTAGATGTGATCAATGAACTATCAACCGAGCAACAAAGACTCAATGGAGTTATTGTGGTTCTTCGAGGCAAATTAGCAGAGTCAGTGACAGCTTACGAGGCAGCGAAGAATGCTTGGAGATTGTTAGAAGCTAAGGTTTTGGCAAGTGCAAAGACCGGTGGTGCAGGCAGTGCTAGTCAAACTCAACAAGCGCAGGCTAAGCGAATTCAGCAACTCATCGATGAGAACAAGAAGCTACGAGAGGAACTCACTACACCGGATACTGGTACGGGTCCAGGCACAGGGGATTTAGCTAACTTTAACAAACGCAAGGCGCAATCCCGTCTTCAGAATATTCAGATGTTGATGAGTTTCATGGTTCTCCAGCGAGCCTCACACGGTTTTGTTGCCGGCGACATGGATAGTGTGTTAGCAGCAGTAGATCAAGCTACAATTGAGGCATCGTTAGTTGGTGATCAAAGATTAATCGTAGAAGTCGCATTTTGGGCTACTATTGCAGAATATTATTTAGGCAACTCAACGGGTGCTCTTGTCGGGTTTGAAGCCCTCAAAGACTCCGAACAATGGACAGATAAAGAAAGAGAGTTGGTGAAAAAATGGATCGCAGAATGTGAGCAAGGGTCAGATTGTCCCAAGGAAAAGCTGGGTTATAAGGAAGCTATAGCAATCGAACCTGTGTCTGATGCTCCGAGTCGTCCCCCGAGACGTCCATCGGATAAAGCTCGTAGGGAGGCGAAGAAAGCTAAAAAGGCAGAGAAGAAAGCAGCGAAGAAAGCCAAGAAAGCCCAACAGAAATCAAAAAGAGCTTCAGCCTCTAAACTTATACCCAGACGTGAATTATACGTCGGTATATTATCGGAGGATCAACAGAAGATCTGGGACACAATTGACTTTGAGGATTTCAATTATGAAAAATTGACTACCCAGCAACAATCTCTATTTTCATTCGAGCCTATCAAATATGAGCCTGATAGTCCTCCACCACTATCACCACCACCAGCCCCTCCAACAGAAGAAATTCCGTTCTACAAGCTCCCAGCATTACCACCTAGCAGGCCTGGCTCTGAAACATCAGATGGCCGCCCCCCAGAAGGTGAAACAGAGGAAGATCAACCCTCTCGTATGGGCAATGTGACTGCAAATGCAGCTTTGCATATTCAATTTCTCACTGCTCGCCTCGCCGACAGAGAAGCACGTATCCAGGAGCTCGAGAATATGCATGTCGATATGCTGACCATTAGAGCTCAGCTTGATGAAAGAGACGCGCAGATTCAAGAATTGAGACGGCATAGCCAGGTCATGATTGCTGAATTGACAATCTGGAGGCGACTGGGCCTGGAACAGGAAGAGCAGGGTGAGGCTTGGTGGGCTCGTATACGGATTTGATTTGCTTCTGTTTCTCCTGTAAACATTACACCGTCGTGGCAAGAGTGTGGATCCTGTTAATTTTACACACGTGACGTTATATATATATATAATAGGTAATTTAGATGTTTATAATTCAACCACGCTTGTGGATATCTAATCGTACAAATCGCCGTGAAGTGTAAAAAGCCTTACATAATCATGTGTTAAGAAGCTATGTATACTATGTTACTAAGAGCTGAGTATAATCATAAATCGTGAAAGGCCACGCCTTAAAAGGTATATATGCTTGAAAATGGAATATTCCATACCCAACTTGCAATACCCATAGCTCCTAAGCTCATAGTTAACGCCATGAGAAGATTGACCTCGTTATTATCAAGGATGTTTAGATATCCGTTCTCAATAATTCGGCTAGGGTGATCATGCTTAAGACTTGATTTGAGTGACTTTTTGGAGGCATCCGAGGAAGCGCTCTTCTCGTGATGCATACCGGTTGGATCACCCGCATCAATCAATACCCTCTTTCCACCTTGTCCTTCCACAATACGTCCAGTTCTTGTGTCCACAACGCTCATCTGGAACCATCCACCTAAAAAGCTATCTAGCACACTGCCTAGAGCTCCCCATATAGTTAAAGCATACGTAAAACGTTGTCGCTGTAGAAAGGACCATCCACTCTCCGCAGATTCTTTAGGATTACAAAATGGCACCAGGACCATTGAAACGGTAACAATTATGAGAGAACCTAGCAGGCCTGCCACGAGACCCCAAACCGTAACACCTCCATTTGTGCCTGGTGGGACCTTTCGCAGATTTGGGGATGTAATGAGCCGTGGTTGGGTTGAGGATAGAATCCCAAGCTCTGAACTGAAGGTATCCGCCGCCACAGCTGCATAGTTTGCTATTATCCCCACCACAAGAAGATCACCAGCCCAGGTGTAACATGCCCCCTTAGACGAATCTGGCTCCTTTTCTCGTTTGTGTAGTTGATAGGCATGCATGAGTGTAAGAACGGAGGCGACGACAGAGTTCGCGAGGACTAAAGAAATTAGTTCTGGCATTTGAATAAGGAAATAATATCCTACCTTGCATATGGGTACGAGCACCTTCTCCCCCAGCACTACCGGTAGATTGCATCGTCAGCTTGGCCTTAGCATCGTGTTTAACCTGTATTCGTCAGAACAGCAAACGATGGTACGGGAATTCGAACAAACCTTGGTAACTCTTGTACCAATGAGATAGAAGATTATCAAAAGAGCAAAAGGTAGATTCCATGGATGCAAAGCATGTGCGGCTGCTGTAATTACGGCTGCAACGATACCTCCAGGAGTTAAGCTCTTGTGCGATCCAGCTCGATACACCATAGCCAGGGTGACAGGAATGGCGATAGCGGCCTTCATATTGGCTTATAATATGAATTGATGTTTATTGGAGATTGTTTCGAGAAATTGTGAGTTCCCGACGGGTGGCCCACTGGGTAGGTTTCGCTTTGAAATATTGAAGTCGTGCAAGAACAATGAGATGTAGTAAACTATTGTGGCTTTCCATTGAGCGAATCAACAAAGTCATCTTGGCGATTATCTGCATATTCTTACACATCACAAAGCAAGGAAGGGAATATTAAGTAAGAAAATTATAGATTTAATTCATGGATTCCCGGATTTTACCCAAAATGCATTTTCTATGTTTAATCTCAATCTCAATCCTGCATACCTACCTACTTTATTAATATTGATATTAACAATAAACATATTTCCAAGGGAATTCTAGTGCACAAATCCGGTCAAAAGTTTTTCCGTGAGGTTAGCAAAAGCATCAGTAACAAAGCTTAGAAAGCCAAACTTTATTAGACAAATATCTTCCGCTCTTCCACAATTTCTTATCTTTTTCCCACTTTTACCGTTGAAGCTTAACTTTACACTGATGTGCTAAATCTGATGTGAATCGGTAAGGTCCGGCCACTTCACCGGTAATGTGGTGGAGTATATGATGAATCTTTGATATCGGTTTCACCGGCAGAATGGGTTTAAGATTATCAGCAATCGCTTGGCTTGCATTATTGTGAGCGCTGACAGGTAGGCGTGCATGTGTAACTGCACCTTCCAGGGTGGGTGACGTTGAGGAAAGCATACCCATACCTTATCGGTCCATATGATTAGTGTCAGTATATAATGTGCTTCATTCCCTAAGTTTGTTTCCTTTCTTCATCCATTTCTGCTTCCAAAATTCCATTAGCACGATGGTGCTCATCAAATTATTGGTCACAGTGACTACGTTTATTGTTTCGACAATTGGGAGCCCAAGTCCAAAGTACTCAAAGCCTCATTTTAACGTCACAGACTTTGTAGAAACCCAGCTCTTAGAGGATCCTTCTCCATACGACTTTCCTATTCTTCAAAATGGCAGTTTAGCAGGCAGTGGCCAATTCCCTATGCCACTATGTAACGGTTTTGAGTTGGAAGAAGCTTCAATTGACCAATTACAAGCGGCTTTGTCAAGGGGAAGATTGACTTCGGTGCAGATTGTTATGTGTTATCTGGAGAGGATTTACCAGACAGACGAATATCTCAGGTGAGTGGAATGTGCTTCACTTTGTCACACCTCGGACCCATTGATTAAAAACATTTGATAGGGCTGTAATGCAAGTGAATCCTGAGTTTATCCAGATAGCTTCTGCACTCGACCATGAACGTAAACTAGGCAACCTCCGTGGACCATTACACGGCATACCATTTCTGGTGAAAGACGTGAGCGTCAAAAGATTTATTCTCTCATGACCCCACTAACAGGTGCCAGAATATTGCTACCAAGGACAAATTAGAAACCACTGCCGGCTCTTGGATGTTGCTTGGTTCGATCGTTCCTCGTGATGCCCACGTCGTGAAACGGCTTCGTGAATCTGGAGCTATTCTGATGGGACATAGCACTCTCAGTGAATGGGCTGACATGCGGTCAAACTCATATTCTGAAGGCTATTCAGCCAGGGGTGGACAGTGTCGATCACCATATAATTTAACTACAACGCCTGGAGGGAGCTCTTCAGGAAGTGCATCGGCTGTCGGTGCTAACCTTATCACTTTTTCTTTAGGCACTGAGACTGATGGAAGCGTTATCAATCCCGCCGAGAGAAATGGTGTTGTCGGTATCAAGCCGACTGTTGGCCTAACTTCACGTGACGGGTAAGTTATCCGGAATATTCGGAGTGTCAAATGGTCCAGGCTGCAGTCCAATAATGAGAGTCTTCTCGCCTTTGAATTAGTTTGAAATGTGCAAACTATTCCAAATCATGGAGTCAATTGAAAACCCAAATTTACACCGCTTGAGCTCGAAAAGTCTCAAATTGGGCTGCAGTTCACACTGTTGGACTTCATCTGTCTTTTGATAACCATGTATGTCATGCTAATATTTCGTCAGAGTCATTCCTGAATCCCATAATCAAGACACCGTCGGATGTATCGCTAAAACTGTCCGAGACGCTACCTACTGTCTTGACGGAATTTACGGTCCAGATGCCCGTGACAACTATACTCTTGTGCAAGACACCCCACCTGGTGGCTACTCCCAATACCTTACCAACAAAACCGCTCTTCAAGGCGCGATTTTCGGACTTCCTTGGCTCAGCTTTTGGAAATTTGCCGATTCGAACCAACAATCCCAATTACTCAATCTCATTTCTGAGATAGAAGCCGCTGGAGCCACGATCATAAATGGCACTGAACTTCCATACTGGCAAACAATCATTTCCCAAGATGGTTGGGATTGGGATTATGGCACTACTCGTGGATATTCCAACGAATCCGAATACACTTACGTCGCAGTCGATTTCTACAACGACATAGTTAAATATCTTTCAGAGCTAAATAACACAGATATCCGCACCGTTGAAGATATCGTGCAGTACAATATCGACAACGTTGGATCCGAAGGTGGTCTTCCTGGTGTCCATCCTGCCTTTAAATCAGGACAAGACGGGTTCCTAGCTTCTCTCGCTACAGGCGGTATCATGAATGAAACATACTGGGAAGCCCTCAATTTCTGTCATCGAACAACCCGCGAAGATGGAATAGATGCCGCTCTGTACAATAATGGAACTCAACTTACTGCGCTATTGGTGCCGCCCGATGTTGCTCAAACTTATCAAATTGCGGCACAAGCAGGGTACCCAATGATTACCTTGCCCGCGGGCGTAAGCCCAGTCGATGGAATGCCGTTTGGATTGGCACTGATGGGAACTGCTTGGAGTGAGGCAACTTTAATTAGGTATGCGAGTGCAATTGAGGATTTGCAGCAGAGTTTGGTGGGCTTGCAACAGAAGAGGACGAGTCCGTTGTGGTATGATTACCGGGCGAAAAATATTCCTATCATATAGAGATTTTCGATAGCTAAGACGTAAAAGTGACCAAAGATGTAATTTGAATTTATGATATTAATTTGCTACATCGAAACTTTCCTTGTTTTAGATGTTTTCGATGCCATTTTGGACATCTTCCCTTTCTCTAAACAACTTTCTGTTAATTGTTGTTCCAAGTGTCACTTCCAGATCGTATCAAAATACCTCCTCCACAAATCCACCATTATTCTTCGCAATCCGATATCAAAATCGACAGTTGGAAGAAAAATTTGATTACCTTACACGATATGAAAAACATTTCCTAATTTGTGATTAGAGATATTTTTGTCACCATCACTAATCTGAAACCTTTACAAAAGTGTAAAAACACCATTCTGCACCTCTCCAACAACCAAACCAAACCAAGCCTGCCTGCCTACACGATTGCCATTTCAAAAATCCCATCCCATCCCATCTGCTACTGATGAAATCTTTCGGTATTTAGCAGGACTAAGTAATGGATTATGACTCAGAGAAGTTTGTTTGATTAGATAGTCAGTATATATAATTCTGAGTTAGGTGAAAGAATTTACTCGATTAATTAGTGGAGGATATATAGGACAAGATTTGTTTCTTGAAGATTTTTGATATCAAGGAGACGCAGACGAATTTTAGTTTTTGCGCATACGCGCGAACAATTGCTTTTATCTCGAAAACTTCAGGTAGAAACTTAGTGGGGAGATCGTAGTTGGGATTGCTGGGTTTGTTGTTTAAATAATTTAAATGTCTAGGGGTAGATTAGTTGTTTACTTAATTAGTCGATGATGCTATACGCATATAGGGTTAGATGATTTCGCTAAACTAAGTGTAAGTTTAGGGATAGGAGAGTACCATCACAGATCTAATTGAATAGGGCACAAAGTTTCTGCTCTCGATTCACATGATACTCCTAGAATCATCAAAATTCACAATGTCTTGATGATTTTATAACTATTAGAATGAATCCACGGAGCCATGCTCCCCAGCGCTAGTAGCCCATAATTAAGAATCCTAAGCCCACACTCAAGTTTTCACGTTTTTCCATTCTTCGTATTAAAACATTATCAAAACCACTCTCGATATAATCACGCTTTTGGTCATTATACCTCGTGAGTTGGCATTTTGGATTTGAAGATCTTGTTGCTTATCTGAATAGGTGGGAGAAAAGAACTATATATATCATGGGTTCCTCCCTGCTCCGGATCTACCAGTAGCTCTTCTACCTTGAAGGTCGTCTCGCCCTAGCCCCGCCTGCTTGGCTACCCGAGTGACCAAATCGAGAAAGCTCTGGAGCTGCATGGTATTGTCATCATATGGTAATATCATGATACATGGGGAAGGAAGTACTACATATTATGGCTTTTTCCGCAGACCAAGAGTAGCGAACAGAGGAAGCGGAAGTTCTATAAGCTAAAGCTGTCACCTAGTCAAACGCTAAAGTGATGAGCGAGATGTGATATCTTATTAACGCTAGAATATTAATTGTTTTTTTTTTCATCTTCGCTTGATTCGATACTTGTAGACGTGCAAGTATCTGAAACGAGAAGAATAAATGTAGATGGTGCTTGTGTTGGGTTTATTGAGACTAGAAAGAGCATCAGATTGAATTGATTGATTCTCTAGCTAAGCAGTTAAGCTGCGAGTATATATTCAAAAAATGAAGGAATAAGGTTAGGTATTCAGCCTTCGGAATTAAAGTGCTTTGAAATCAAAATATTGAAAGCAAACAAACAGTATACCAAAAAGGAAAGAATGAATTAAAAGTTGAGTTTTGTTTGCTCCTTATATGCATCATGCAATATATATGTATATGCTGCCAAGATCCCAGGAGGTCAACAGCTTGCATCTGCTGTATATCCGTCACGGACTCTCAAATCTATAAACTGCTAAAATTTATCAATTACCTCTGCGACACCTTTGCCTTGTTTGGGATATTTACCAATATTTCTGCAGAATAGCATTTCCTCTTTGATATTCAAAGTTTTTATCAGAGGTACTAGCAGTCGTCGTGGATAGGCTTGTGACACTTTGAATGTATTAAACATTGGGAAAGTGGAAGGAGTTTGAACCAGAATGTGTTTAATGGGGACAGTGCAGTGGGTTGCATTGATGCTTATTGTGTGGAGAGACCGCCAAGTGGATGCATTTTAATCGTGAAGTGATCTTTTGAAATTTGATATTGGCCCCAGTCTTCAGGAATACCTCATATCATCCGGTGCGTGTTCCGGGATGAAATTAGTTGATCGGTTGAGTCATAGTCGTCGTCTTCTTCCTGTTGCCCCCTTCTTTTGTTTCCTCCTCTTAATCATATCGGAAGTTTGGAGGATATTTTAGAGACTCGATCCTGATAACCACTCGATAGTCACTGCAGCTAGATTGCCTGGGAAAAGACGTCCTCGAAACCGCAACTTAGGGCATTGCTGGCTCTCAAACCGTGAATCTTGTCTCGCCCGTTTTCCTCTTGCATTTCTACGCCAATAATGCTCTTCGGCTTCTTTCTTCCTCCTCCTGCTCGACACTTTTAAGCTCGGCATTTTTAAACTCGGCCACGACCCGTAACATATAGGGTTTTCCGAGCTTAATCTAGTCTATTTGCTTAAATAATTCCCTCATCACTCGCATAATAAGAAACACATCGCTCTCAAGGCAGGGTCATCTTCATCCGCGCTTTCCAACTTCTTACACCTCTAGAATCGATACAAAGCCGAAAAGCTGACGGCTTTACGAGACCAACTCACACTGACCACAGCTCATATGGTAATATGTAGACGATCAATTGTATAGCATATAATTTGTAAGGCAAAATGATGAATAATTCTCGTTTTCAAATTTGATTAGAAAGTCCTCGGATATTGATTTCTTGCGGAATTTAAATTACGGTTCGCTGTAACAGTTGATTCATAATAAAATAATGGATTCGTGATCGATTCGATTGCTCCGATGGTCACGACATGTAATTTTGTAAAAAACGAGAGTGAGAAAGTTATGTGCCTTCAATTAGAGCCCTCAGCATGTATGATGTATGCTTCAAAGGATGATAGCGGCTAAAAGACCAAGGTCTAACCATATCTCCCGACATAAGAATGGCCAAACTTATGTATGATTGTAGGTAGTATTTGGCAACACTATTCGCATTGACCTGGCTCTAACATCACAGCCTGGAAGATTTTACGAGCAGGTGATGACAAAGATACGCGGCCTGCTAGGTTCCAAATCCCAAAATCGTCCTAAATGGTGCCCTTTACATCTTTCTGAATTCTGTAATGAATTTTTTGAACGGTGTGAAATTTCATTCACAAGTTAAAGAGATGCACAACTTTGACATGGAGATTCACATCACAACGAACCCAGAAAAGGCTAAAAACAGTTCTCTGATTGATAAGACTAATAGCACCCAAAGACTTTGTTTAACTTTGCCCGATTCTGAATCTGAGAATTATTAGAGTTAGCTCATGGAATTGGGAAGCGCATAATTTGCTCACAAAAAATTTGGTGCCCTGCGATTTAAGGCGAATTGTCGGATTACTGTAGACATTATCGAAAAGTTTATAGCAAATGAGATACTAAGAGTTCTAGCCTCAAAATGAGTATCGATGCTGATGCTTTAGTGTTCAAGATGAATATAAACATCGTACTGTATTGTCATGGTGACATCAGCAATGACTTAAAGGCGCAGGGAAGAGAAAGTCTAGCAAACGACCCTCTTATCGTAATTGTTTTGCGGTCGCTTCGAGGTATATGAGGCGCAACTATGGAGCATTCAAGGCAAGATTTCTTCCAGCGGACAGACCTTCAACCACTGTAAATTAAGGCATTCAAGACTGGGGTTTGCTGGTTTGAGCTTCTTGGTTGGACCTTCGTGGTCTCCTCGGCTGCCTGGCTGTTTCCAGCGGGAATCTTTTCTCCAATCCACAAGTATTACACTTTCGAACCAGTACATCAGCCCAGGGTTTCTTTCCGCCCTTACTTTGATTCTCTATTTGAGCAGTACATGTTGTTCCTTCCATCAACAGAGTTTGACAATTCTTACAGATAGAGTGCTTCATGTCAGGCGACATCCGCATTAATCCTTTCAGAGATACTGAGCGGAGATCTGTAATTAATCGACGCGAGAGAGGGTGATATAATCCCCCAGTGATATTTGCTTCGCACTTCGGCTCAACCTCCATGACATCCTCGACTGGTGAGCGCAGTGCATTTTTGACGGTTGATCGTTTTTGGCTTTCATCGTCTTGCAAAGCCAGATAAGTCGCCGCTTGGTAGAGATATGATATTCTGCTATACAAGACTTTGTTTGGTATTTTAGATACTCCTTTCGTAGGTTGTGACTTGGCCATTGTGTTTTGAAAGCAGAGATTGAATTATGGAGAGTTTAAACAAAGGCTCAAAGTTCTAGAAAAATACAGCAGCGGAATTTTTGTGTAATTATTAAGGAAGATTTGATAGGTGCAAGACTACGAGTACAAGGTCATTGGTACGAGGAGTATATTTTGCATTAGGTAAGCTCATGAAAAATTATTAGCGTGAATATTGAAACTGAGCTATCTTTCCACGTGACATAATCTTTAGCGGAAATTGGAGCCGCGCCGACAAAGCAAAGCAATCCCTTTAGTCGCGCACTCATCCATCTTTCTTTCAACACCTCGACCTCCATCCATCTCAATTCTTCTCACCACGACTTGGATCATCACGATCTAACTCTTGATTCATTTATTTCTTCTCTATTCTTCAATCACTCCTAACAATTTTCAGCAAGAATAACGATCAAGATCGAGCGACGCGATCAACTTTACCTTTCAACAGCAACAACAAACCGAGCTTCTAACTAATAAACATCATCAAAATGTCTGCCGCCGAAGAAGATTTGATCGACTATTCCGATGAGGAGCTCGCAACAACAGAGGCACCGGCACCAGCTGCTGGCGCAAATGGAGGTGTCAAGGGTGACTCGGGAAATTTGACGGTGTCTGGAAATGCAGCTGCGGCCAAGAAGGGCAGTTATGTTGGTATCCATTCGACTGGTTTCCGCGAATTTTTATTGAAGCCGGAGCTTCTACGAGCCATTTCCTGGTGCGGATTCGAACATCCTTCGGAGGGTTAGTCATAACTTTCATCCCTAAGCTCCATCATTGTCCTTCTCGCAGCGCGTCCGTCCATCTCGCAAGCAAGAATGAATACTCTCTGGTCAAAGCTTCAGCCAGTTACGAGCGATCCTGGAATGTCTCTCCCGGTCCGATACAAGACTCGGAGTGATGGCAAACAAATGCGTTAGGCGAGAATCTCGAGAGAAAGCGGCGATATTATTGCTGGCAAGATTGTAGGAGATACGTTTAAAGTGCATGCCGAGAGACTTCCAGGATCGACTCGGAATCGACGCCTTCCTTATTGTGTTTGTGTAAGGTTGACGATCTGCGCCTTTAAAGGCAAATATCGGGCCTATACTTCGATCTGTGAAATCCCGGTGTTGCGTTGTGGATGTATTTGCGTAGATGGACGGACTTGCAATCTCTTGCACCTGATTATACATTTGGTCACTTAATCTAACTTCGGTCCGATCACTACAGTTCAGCAAGTCTGTATTCCCCAAGCGATTCTTGGAACAGACGTCCTCTGCCAGGCCAAATCTGGTCTCGGTAAAACCGCCGTTTTCGTCCTCACAACTCTACAACAAGTCGAGGTAGTTGCCGGTGAAACATCCGTCCTCGTGATGTGCCACACTCGTGAATTGGCCTACCAAATTCGAAATGAATACCAACGCTTCTGTCATTTCATGCCCGATGTCAAGATTGGTGTTTTCTATGGTGGAGTTCCTATCAGCAAGGATGTCGAGGTATTGAAGAACCCAGAAACGCATCCGCACATCATTGTCGGTACTCCAGGTCGATTGAACGCTCTTGTTCGGGACAAATACTTGCGCCTCAACAGCGTTAAGGTTTTCGTTCTCGATGAGTGTGACAAGATGTTGGATCAAATTGGTAAGTCTGACTACAAATTTCACAGGTGCATAATGTTGATGTCGTTATAGATATGCGTCGCGATGTTCAGGAAATCTTCAGAGCTACACCACCACAAAAACAAGTCATGATGTTTAGTGCCACTCTTTCTCAAGAGGTTCGACCTATCTGCAAGAAGTTCATGCAGAACCCTCTCGAAATCTACATTGATAATGAGACAAAGCTTACCCTTTATGGTCTTCAACAATACTACATCAAGTTAGAAGAAAGAGAGAAGAATAGACGTCTTAATGAATTGCTAGATGAGCTTTCCTTCAACCAAGTTATCATTTTCGTTAAGAGCACAGTCAGAGCCACTGAACTTGACAAGCTCTTGCGCGAATGTAACTTCCCATCTGTTGCTATCCACTCTGGTGTCAGTCAAGAGGAACGGTATGTCTTATAATATCATTAAAAAAAAGTGCATTGCTGACATATGAGCAGTATCAAGCGTTTCAATGACTTCAAGGATTTCAACAAGCGTATCTGTGTTGCTACCGATGTGTTTGGTCGTGGTATTGATGTCAACAAGATTAACTTGGCCATCAACTACGATCTTCCACCTGATGCAGATTCGTACCTTCATCGTGTTGGTCGTGCTGGTCGTTTCGGAACCAAGGGTCTAGCCATCTCATTCGTCAGCAATGAGGCAGACCAAGAGGTTCTGAAGGCTGTTGAGAAAAGATTCGAGGTTGCACTTCCGTAAGTTAACCCCTGCGCCTCCTCATCCTTTACTCAGGCCTTATCGCACTCTACATTGCCAATGCTGACAAATTATAACAGAGAGTACCCTGAGGGAGGTGTCGATTCCGCTGCGTACACCAAGACTGACTAGGTTCTCGATACCTTTACGCCGGCCAAAAGATATTCTCCGCTTTTTTTTATATTTCGGCTAGCAGCACCGATTGTTTGTTTAGGTTGTGTTATTTCAAGAAGTCACTGCAATACGAGAAAAATCATGATTGTTTTTTACGAAATTCCGTTTTCGCCATTTGTTTATTTGGAGGAATTGACCTCTAGTCATGGAAATTATGAGATAAACTGTGCCTGGAGGTTCATAGCTAGAGAGGTTGGGCAATGATATGATGGGTTGTGGCTAAAGCAACTCAATGGGAAAGAAAGCAAGTTAGCGCGAATATTAGGTGCAATAGAAAAGTTTTCTCTGACGTGTGTTTATGCTTTTCGTTTTATATACTTTGAGAGCCCTGTAATAAAATGGGTAGCCTTGATACCAGCGTCGTGATGCTTCATTTATCCATCATCTCATGCATCTGGTGTTTGATCATTTGAACTCCCATGATTATCCGAGCTGGGTTAACTGTCTTTACCGGAATGAATCTATGAGCCTATACGAATGTATGCACTCATTCCTTAACCAATCTTCCTATCAGTACTTAAAACTTCACCATCCTAAACGTCTCAAGTCCTCACTACAATTCCCCCAAATCCAAGCCGATCGAATATCTGACACTTAAGCGTCCCCAAGTACATCTCTTTCACCTGGCCACCCAATCTCTTTCTTCCCTTGCAGTGCCCTCTCTATATCCCTAGTACATCGATTTATCTTTTGTCGAAGTCGTGGATTCCGGGTGATTTCGTAGTATAACTAGAGACTTCACATAATTATAATCTACGACTCGTGTGGACTTGTGTACTCGCAACTTACACTTGACAGATACTACCTAGGTAGGCAGAAACATTTATTTTCATCTTCATATCATTATAAAACATAATATCGAGATTAGCCGGAAATATCGCGGTAGGATTATCTCGTGGTTAAATGAATTGATAGCTGGATGGGGTGTCTGCCCATTGGCGAGCTGGTTTATATATTTGGAGGGGAGCGACTACCCAGGTATCTTACCGAATGCCATGTACTATTAGACTAGCCGTTGAAACGAGCGAATTGAAAGATTAGATATACTCGTGAGCAAATTAGACAGAATGTGGATTCATATAAAAGTCCTTTGCTAATTTTTTGTCTTGACTGGTGACGCTGCAGAGATGGAGTATGCTCGTATCAGATATGGTGAGATTAATGCGTTTTTATTGGGAATATCGATATCATGTATAAAATTTTAAACGTGAATGAGGTACATATTGGCAAAGAACTGTTGCTAAGTGCTATTTGCTGATATTCTGTGAACCTAAGCCAGATTTAAAGGATGCATGCAAGAAGTTCAGAGATTTTAGACGGTGTTGCTCGTCAGTCGAAAGGCTTCAAGTTGTCTGTTGAGGCTACCTGGTAAACGCTCAATCACTTTGACACCTTTAAACCCAACATAATTCGCTATTCCAGAAACGGTCACCACACGTAGCTTTTCAGAAAGCCTACCAAGAAGTTATCTTTAATAAATTTCAAGCCTATAGTGTATATGCAATCCATTAGTTGTCCTGAATGACGTTGGCTTCGGGATTATGGTTGCTTTTACCTCATGCTACGCGGTAATTGCACATATTTCTTCACGGGCAAAACCAAACTATCAATCGCTTACATGAGAGCTTAATCAGTCAGCGCAATTTCAAGTTAATGCGGCTCTTCGCTGCGAAAATGATACACTCCAATGCCGACTTTCTCCACAGCATTGGAGAATCTTCCATGATCTTGAGCGTGTCGCAGCGCCAATCTGAGTTCCTACAGTGGCTCAGTACCGTGTCGATTGAATTGCGTAGGGCTCGAAGAACTCATTAAGAAGTGCCGGAATCTATCTCAAACCCAATGAGAAAAATCTTGCACCATGGTTTCCTTCAGTCTCTTAGGGTTTCTTGAGGAATGTGACAAGGATACTTCAGGTAGGAATCGTTTTCTCCATCAATAGCTATGGAATACGTTACAGATGCGCGACAGGGGGTAAAGCTGCGCAGCTGTAATGAGTTCCAGTCAGGATGGACTGGCGACCGCATGGCATCGCAGGTTCATATTTCGGTGAAGTTTCAACCGGGAATAACCATAGCAGATTGATTGATGCAATAAGTTTGTTTCCAAGCAGCTCCAACAATATCTTTAGCGAACGAGGCAGTGACAAATTTCGTCTGTAGCAGTCTTGAGAAATCCGTCCATCGAAACTGGATAAAATTGACGTCGAGGTTCTCTAGCAGGAATCTGTTCAGCCTTCCCACTGGAGCAGGTAAGTACTCTAATTCTGACATCTTGATTATATATTTCTAAAGTAAAACCTGCAATTTTGGCATGACAAACAATTGCACACCTACATGTCTACAAAAAAAAGATGAACATACCGAGAATTTCAAAAACGCCTAACGTACGGGTCTATTTGGATGCGATGTAAGGCTAGAGGACTTTGGATCAGTTGATGAATCTGATAGAGTTGCTGTACTCATCACTTTAAAAGCACATTATGAGTTCATAGAAGCTCAGGACATCTGGACATTTGGGAGTAAAGTCCGTATAACCCATTCGATGCACAGTTGGTATTGCGTGCATCGCACGGGGTATGTAGCACATAATTATTTTAATCCTCAGCCGCAATATAAATCTGTCTATCTATACCGCATCGTATCATGCAACAATGAAGCGAAAGTTCTACAACAACTTATATCAGAAAGCATTTCCAGGAGGCCGTAATACACACCGATCATCGGAACGCAATTCTCTCAGCGAGCGTGCGAGAAGCGTCTTCATGTAATCGGAAGGTTTGAACAAAGAGCCAATATAGAGACGAGCGAATAGACCTTGAATGGTTGCTGAAGATTTATCGCGCAAAATCTATTTAGAAATCACATAGCTTAGAGATGGAGCTTAGATATGATACGCTAGTCAACATAAGATTACAATGGCGCTGATCTGGAACTTGACGTGAACAACTGTGAGGAACCCTATACCTTCAATACCCAGATGTTGTGTAATGAGTAACCCCAATTGGCTCCTAGTCTAGTACTTGATCCACAGACACAATCTTATATAAAGCTATTCTCGCGATTCAATAGAACTGCCAACCTGGAGAGGATTCCATACATACTATCCTGGCCAGAAACTCTTGATATTCTACTCCTTCGTAGACATCACTCCAGGCTCAAAGCGGTACGAAGTTCCTACTATTCTTGCTCTAATCCATCAAATAAAGCAATAACACAATATATCTATACAACTAGACGCTAGACGCTAGAGCCCTAGCAGCCTACATGGAGAGAAAGGTACGTCAACACCGAGATAACAAAGCTTCATAAATTCATATCCATCCAGACGATGTCGCGATCCCGAAGCTAGTAAAGATGAAATGCGCGCCCTCCCCCCATTTGATCCCGAATCCCTAGATTACCATAACAAATTACCGAGCTAATATTACACCTAGATACTGTGATATAGCCAGATTATCCATCTACTATATGTGCATGATAAAAGATGCGGAGCCTTATCTAAGACTTATGTATCTAGGATTTATGTTCTTTTTTAAAAAATATTCTACTCCGAATACGAGTCCAAATAGAACATGGGTTTTCAAATCAAGAGACAGACTTTATAGGGATAACATATACTTAAGTAAATATAAGACAAACGCAGTTCTATTATAGCTTTTCGCACCTCGCCTTTCCAATTTATATCCTGATGGGATAAATACTTAACCGTCAAGATTCAATCACCTTAGACACGCGTAGACTTCAACATGTACACAAACCTGAAAAATCTGAAGTCTACTACGCAGTCCTATCTTATCCTTGGATCCAAAAAAGCCAGATATACATCCTTGAATAAAAAGCAGAAGAAGAAAACAAGAACAAGCACAACCCTAATCTACTGAGAAACTCGCGCTCATCCAGACTTCACATTTATCTCCCGACCAAACAAGTTTATTCATTCTACTTTAAACAATATCCTCGACATCGCAACCGAACAACCGAGCAACCGAAAAGATAGCCAGAAACCACAGTATACATACATAAGCTGCAAATTTCCAGAATCCTAACTTAAATCTCCTCTTGTCAATGTGAATATGACTAGATGATCTTACATATCAATATCTCAAGAAACCAAAGCCACGGCTCACTTGAGCCTGATGAATACTTGCCGTGGTTCTATACGATTTGTGCAACAACAAATATATAAACTAGATAAGGAAAGCAGTATCGAAGATATATGTAATTAATGGAAAGTTCGATATTTCAGAAACTCCTACTCTACCCATCATATACATCGCTTATGCTCTTTCAGTCACAAGTACAAGCACAAGGACCAACAACATCCACGCCTAAAATTCCAACAGGAGAGCTCCAATGAGTATCCAAACCAAAGCACCCCAAACCATACAATTCCAACACCAAAAAATGAAGTATCGCTCCCGCAAGGCGGAATATCATACTTCTGACCAATTCCCGCTGTCCCCTTTCGACAATTTCAACAATTCAAAACATACCATCAAATTATTGACACTACAGTAGCCGGTAGATTGAAAAGAAATAAGGGCAATAATAAATACATATACACCGACCATTCAATATAATTTCTTCCTTCTTGTTAAAGATAAATCATAAATCAATGATTAAGCATCCATCCACTTATAAATGACTTAATTACTACGACCAACCAATCAGATAACCGAAGAGACCTTGATTTTTATTATGATTTAACGAGATAATTGATTACCTACCTATGTATGTATAGGTAGTACTATACTATACTACACAATAGCAAACTATCCACATATCCAGTTACAAAAAGATATCTAGAACATTGAAGTTATTTGCTTTATATTCTCTACTTTATTTATTGCTCTCTTTTTTACTTAACTCTCATTTCTACGCAATTCTTCAACGTAGAGATCTCTTTTTTCTGCTCTTTTCATTTATTCTCTATTTTCTTTCACCGTATTTTTTGTTTTACTTTTATATCACTTATACTAATAAATTAGGCCTACTTTCGGTTTTCAACCGGTACTTTGAGAGGGACTTGAATAACAGGAGTGAATGTTAATATTGTGTATCTATGGGAAAGAGTATAAGAAAAGAGGTATGAGACAACCCAGCAAGAAGAATACATTCAAATGATTCAGCAAAACAAATAAACACGTCAGTCATAGCCAAATCAATACAAAGCAGGTCAAATTTCAATATCTCGAAGCGCGAACACGAGCAAACCACCGTAGTGTTAAATACTCTATTCTACTCTATCATTTTGAAAATAGAATGAAATACATGTACGATCATCCATTTCCCACACCATTCAAATTAAAAATCGAATCAAGGAATGAAATTTCCTCACCAAGGACCGATAGATCAATTGAGCAGCATGAACAGATAACCCCATCTTGCATCCTACGACCAATAAAATCATTTCCTCATCCGCGCCACAGGCGAACAAAAGAGGAGGTGGCTTTCCTGCCTACTACGTGCATATCACCTAACGTTACATTGATCCATCTCGTCAAACAATGACATTCACAATCAGGCATTTCTGCCCTTCACCTTCTAACGTTCTGACGGCAGTGGCAAATTTTTTTTCTTATAACATGATAATCTGGTCGGAGATTGAATCAATTCGTGAGCAAGGGTTTTGAATACGGGCATCACTGTAGGAGATGTCTCTGTATGTTAAAGAATTTTGTAAGAATTCGTACTAGCCTCTTGGCATTTTGTTTTCGTAAACAACGAGATGCTACTATTGTGCTACACGTAGGCTGAGAAGGGGCGCGTCGTTGAAACGCTGAAACGAAGAGATGCTACATATACACGGTGAATATGAATGCATGCACGTGAGGTTGTACTAATATACCACTGCTACTGCCACTTCCAGGGCAAGAAGGGTGTTGCAATATAGTTTACTTGCCTTGCAAGTTGTATACGAGTTTGCTTTAACATTGAGATTGAAAACTCTTGGTATAGAGAGAGTGAGAAACCTTGTTTCTATATTTCCTCCCTGTGTATACTGTACTACAGTAAGAATGGTATTTCGGTGAATAGATGATATCAGCATGAAGATAAGATAAGCATGAGATTGCGAGCTGCATGGTAATTTTGCAAGTAAGCCAAAGAACATATGACGGTACCTTATTTCTTTAAATTTCTTACCGTACGGAATCTACGGATGTATCTAAAACATCCGAGCCCAAGTCGTGAGAGTGACAGTAATTTCGGAAGATATGTTCTTGATCTCCAATGGGATCCCTGGGTATGAATTTCTCCCTGCTCCTGAACATCTTGGCGAACTTGCCTTGGCAGATAGATTGGATTATTATTTTCTTCCATCACAACCTTCGGTTGCACCTGAAAAGCTTTCGACTTGTCCGAATCCTTAAACGTGATTAGACTGATTAGTAAGGAAGAAATAGTAATCGTGGTTGCTCGGACACAACAGTGTGATGAGTTTTTTGAAGTCCTGGTTCGTATGAACCTTGAATGTCGGTCGTTACGTCGTATGGATCGTATTGCGCAGTATTTGAATGGTTGGGTATAACAAGAACTCGAGGCATTCAAGATCTTTGACCTGGAAGACTGTGGTGATGAGATATGTTTCAATCTGCAAGGTGCAAAAAATGGCACACATTTCTTTGAATTGGAACCCAATGGAGAGGAAATTCCGAGTACGAGACCAATAGGAAAAAGCTCCAGTAGTAGATGTGGTGTATAATTCTTGTTGCCTATTTTCAACTTCCTATATTGACCTGCGAGCCTTAAAGTTGCATACCAAGCGACAGCATCAATGACACACACTGTAGATCTGTCTGATTCATTGGATTGACTCAAAATAGAAACTCGAAAATCCAATATCTTTTACATCAAAATCTATGCAATGTGCATCCGCAGCCCTAGGTCAACCAGTGGTCGGTCAGATCGACATGTCTTATCCACAATGATACATGCGCACCCATAGAAAATTGAGAGCAGGATGGTCTTCCTTGGTTAGCCCATGATATGAATTCCACTTTTTATCTCAGATGTTTATTCATAGTGGCTCAGCCAATTCGAGGTAGCTTTAGAATGCGTCAAATATATGGAGAAAAAGGTTCTAGAGATGCGAATGCTTCTGATCTCCTTCTCCTTTTCCCGAACCATGAAAATATGGAGCCTTCTTTTTCATAAATCGATCGATTTTTTAGCTGGCTGAATGAAATGGAGTATGGTGCCCCGCAATTAATTCTTGTTCTGGAAAACTGTTGTCGTGGAGCATGTGAGGACCATTCGATTGATCCTTCTAAGACAAGATGTTGGTTCTACAACCGACCTGTATACATATCTGTCTCATCGTTATGGTACCATTGGATATGTATCAACATGGAACTTTAGATTGGGATTTGCCCAAGTATCCGGACCTTCCGCTCTTCTATGATAGAAGATAAATCAGTGTGGACATTATTATCAACGAGAATACCGGCTTTCTATAGATCCCTGTTGTGCTCCATGATACCTGCATGCTGTATTTCAGGTCGACCGGGATTTTGATAGTCCTTGTCTTCCATGTTAGCATCTCTCCCCTCGCAAGCTCGCACAGACAATCATCTCATCATCAATACTCCTTGTCCTCAAATATAGATTATTAACCCAAAGATTTTTTTGAGATTTTGATTAATTGCTGTCGACGGAGCCTTGCCAATAATCCAAGACAGACATAGTGATTATCGCTAGGTAGAAATATCTATCCTGAAGTATGGGAACCAGAGCGTGAAAGTCGAAAGGACGAACTTTGGTACGACCGGTCATTGATATCAACGGATGTGAACTTTGCGAGGTTTGAGGCCAAGCAGTTAAGGCACAGTGCCAGTAGGTGTTGAGGAAACCAATGCATCGCGGACGCTATCGATTTGACGGCCATCAAAGGGAAGGTTTTGACAAGGAACGTGTGCAAGCCGCGGGCCACGGACCGCTGGCATCCAAGAAAGATCATTGTCGTGACATCAATTGTGATTATCGTGAGAGTTCCGTTGGGCCTTGATAGTTGAGAAATAGGTAGCCTATCTTACACTCGGTTTAAAAGTTCGTACTTCGTCTGTAATTGATGAGTGGGAGACCGAAGCTTTGAGGATTTTTTTTTGGCTATTCGGTGTGGTAGAGAACCCTGTAATCGTAATCTTGTATCTGCACAGCCTTTCGGTGGTGGAAGCCTCTCTCCCTTTTGACCCTGCATGTCACTCCAGTTTCTGTCGATTATCATCTCATCCAGACCTCTGGACCTATGAAGCATCTCTTTCTGATATCGAGCCTCTTCCTAAATGAACTGGATGTAAATGAGTAAACAGTCAGAACTCTAGCACAGCCTATGTTTCGAATAAAGGGGCTGCTGCAATCGATACAGGCGCTTACAAACAACATGGCCCTCTCTGATCAGGGTCAAGTTTGGGGATTTTTTAAAGTTTCGATATGAAGTTCTGGAATCCTTCCATTCGCCCTTTGAGTGAAACTCATTCCCATCAGATAACATGATTGCTCACCTCACGGCTAAAACGTTGAGGGGAACCCAAATATAATTATGATGAAGCTTTCCGGCTTGAGGTAGTCGTCATATTCGTGGAGACTGGTAAAATACTCTCGAACCGGCCATGCTAGGATGAAATACCTACCTAATACTGCACCTACGGAGTTGTTAGACTTCTCAATTTTGGTTGTTTCTTTCAGACTCGGCTTCCGTAGTTGACATTTAGGGGTATCTTAGTACGAAACCGATTCTATAAGGTTACCATTCAATCTACATCTTCATAATTATCTATGGAAAATGAAGATGTCGCTGCTTTTCAACACAGATTTCAAAACCATGGGTGGTCGGTCTATTATTCCAATTGAATCGTTATCGCTATCTACAATGCCAATTCTTGGCGCAAGGTACCTGGGGTACTTTCTCGAGCTCCTCCGTCTCATTAGATTGACTGACTTGGTTTGAATTCATCCTCATCCGCCAAAGTCGTTACTTCCCGCAATAGCTTTATTGGCTTTTGCGGAAAAAAGAGCAGTGGCGCAAGGCGTCTGTTGTATCAACTCTCAGGTGGCATTCACTGTAGCGTAGAGGTGAAAAACTCGGACTTCTCGAAGTGTGTATATATTTATCCATATATATATATATCTACATGTAGTGTAAATGCCACCATCACCGTCTCATTGCTTTCTCCCTCCCCCAAGACATTCACGGCCTTGCTATTGTAATTTTAACAATACGAAATGATTAGATATTTGTGTCATTTTCCTTTAATTTTGTTGACAGGGGGAAGGGAAATCTAAATACTAATCTAAATACTTGTGTCTTGTATTAGAGTTTTTATATCAAAATTTTAGTTCGCCTGTTTTGCTAGGTATCGCCGGGTCACTATACTTTCTATAGCTGCAATAATAATCATAATTATAGCTTATGCTACCTATAGAGTTTGCTTTTCTAGCTTTCTCAGCAGTGAGCACGTAACTGCGGTGACCAAGCAACCTTAAATTGATAAATTATTATTATAGTACGGAATTGTTGGTAAGTACAATAGGTACCGGTACCTAGCACCTACTACCTCCGTTCAGCGACGGGTAGGGGGAACCATATTTACATGGCGTTAAGAATAAACAGCGCCTCTCTCTATCTCTCACGCAGGTCAACAACCACATCTTGGCACCAGCAGATTCATCCTTTTTTTTTTATCAAGGGAGAGAAATCTTAGAGAAAGGGAACAAAGCAAGCCGGTAGGAAGCAAAAGTTTCAGGTTTCAGCGAAGGGAAGGGAAAAATAAGCGGAGAAAAATACACAAACAACAACTCGACCGCATTCGTTCCCCAAGTTCTTCATCATCTCACTCTTCTGTCAGCGCGATCAAAAACAGCATCGGAAAAGCTTCACTTCATTTCAATTTTATTATTCTTGGTTTTTCTTTCCCTTCATTCCATTCTTGTTAGCATCACAGCCTTCTGCTCTCCATACAACCGACCCCTCTCTGGCTTTCTCTCTCACGATTTCTGATGCTCCATGATCCACGACCCACGTATTCCAAGGATTATTCAGTTCAAGGAACACACTGGATCCACCAATCCACCAACCAATCCACCAATATCTAGTACGTTCCGTAGACTGTTGACCAATCCGACACGTTTTTTATATGTGTAGCATATGAAATACACGAATTAGACCTTTAATCCATTACTCTTCGCAGATTAGACCACAAACCACGCCAACGTCTGCTACGCCTACTTTCCATGCTACTACGGAGTACGCCTTTTTTTTATCCTCGCAAAGTTCGTAACCTCCGAACCCCCATCAACAATCCCCAATACCAATTCAAAATTCAAATCCACCTTAATAAATAATCTACACTCTTTTCCCCCCTCTGTTGTTTTAGCAGATCCAATTATTCACGGTCCTAATCTTACCCAATCCAGGTCTATCGAAAAAGAAAAGACTCAGTCGAAGAATTCGGTCTCTTCAGGCCCTTACGCTCGTTTTAAGCAACAAAACTAGGTTTCTCGAAAATAAACCTCAAATCCCCACCTCCGCCGCCTGCCTCAATTTGGCACCGAGACAGGGGAAATAACAAGACTGCTGGGAAAGCAAATATACAATTTCACCATTAGTTTTGGGTTTAGAAGTGACTCGGTATATCAAAAACGAACCAGGGGTCGGCAGAGTGAGCTGCTTAATCTCAAACTTCGTTCAATACTAGACCACCCTTGGTCAAAGATGGCGCCCACTCCTCCCCGTCTAAGAATTCTATCAGGTTTGTCTAATGCAAATGTCCTTTATTTCCTACTCCACTTTTATATCGCGCTAGTTGAACGCCCATCTCCCGTCAATATCTTCATTTTTCTTGTTGTCGTGGTTCAGCGTGTGCGATTTCGAGCATTTTCTACATCGTCGCCGTCAAAATGGGAGGCAATGAACTAATCAGTGTGTGTACAGTCGGTGGGAATGCTGTTTCGGCTTTCTTGTCCTGGAGGCTTCAAGCCACCAACGCTTGCGATGTGACATTGGTGTGGAAATCTGGGTTTGACGCCGTCTACCAATACGGGATATCATTCAAGTATGCAACTGCATCAAATTCATCCAGAGCCATCAACTGACCATTCACTAGATCTACTTCTTTTGGCAACGAACGATTCAAGCCACGGCATGGTATGCTATTCATTATCCACTCCAAAAAAACAAGCGAATACTGATTCGTCACATCTAGTTGTCCGCACTCCCGAAGAAGCCGCCAGTAATAAAGATGGTCCTTTCGACTACGTTTTGCTTTGCGTAAAAGCCCTACCAGATGTATACGATCTCGCTGCGGTCATTGAATCGGTCGTCACACCACAACATACATGCATATTAGTCAATACGACACATACGCTGGGCGTCGAGGCTCATCTCGAAGCGAGGTTTCCAAGTAATGTTGTATTATCACTTGTCTCCGGAGCTGAGATAGTGCAATTGGGAGCGAGCGAATTTGAGCATAAAGGTTCCACCGAGATATGGGTTGGACCAGCGACAAAGAACCCTTCGATGCCTAGCACTATACAAGGAGATATGGCTGAGGCGTTGGCGATGACTTTGAGCGGTGGACAAGTAGACTGTCATGTTTCCTCGAACATAATGCAACAACAGTATGAGAGGATGATTGGGTAAATTTTCATCGAGTTCCTTCCGAGCCGAATTCCTTGCTAATATTCATTCGCAGACCTATAGCTTTTCATCCACTGAGCGTAATATTCGAGACGCCATCCCACGCTGCGTTACTTGAGAAAGTTGGCGTGAGGTCAATGATTTCAGAGTTATTTGACGAATTGGTCAATCTTGCCCAAGCACAAGATTGTTCATTTCCCCCTAACTTTAAAGAAAAGATTATGGAGGATATGACAAAACCTTCCGAGGCTAACAGCATCATGTACCAAGACTATGCTGCTAAGCGGCCCATGGAGGTTGAGACGTATCTTGGATCTCCTATAAAACTTGCCCAGCTTGTTGGAGTCAAAGTCCCTCGCATAGAAACTCTCTACCCAATCCTCCACAATCTCAACATTGTCAACCAACAAAGGAAAGATACCGGCCTCGCCCCCCAGCCTTCTCCTCTAGCTCCACCCATGAGAATGTCATCTGCACCCCCTCCTAGACCTATGATGAATGGAGGTCCACCGGGAAGCGCTGGTAGAGGTAGAGGACGTGCACCATCTATGGGCCCTCCACCGGGTATGCGACGCGGACCAGGCGGACCGCCAAACGGTTTCGGCCGACCTCCAAATGGATTCCCCCAATCGCGAAATCAGTCGAGGCGAGGTTCTCTAGAAGGTAATGATCTCGAAGAGTTTAGTCACTTGGTCTTGTACGATGATATTCCCGAAGGTGGAGAGTCACCTTATCCTGCTGAAGCTGGCGGTGGTGAAATTGCTCTAAGAGAACGCGAATTAATGCTTAGACAACGGGAGCTTGCTCTTCGGGAGCAGGAGATGCGCATGCGTCAGGGCGGAGGTGGAGGTGGAGCCCCACCTAGATCCCGTCGAGGCCCATCCACACCCTCGGTGCGAAATGGCGGATTCGACGACGACGACGATGATGATTTCTACGTTGACCCTGCAGATGCCCCTCCGGTCCCTCTCATTGATCCTGACAATTTTGACATGATGAGCGTTACATCACGACGAAATCGCGCGAAACCTGGGCCGAGTAAACAACAAATCCGTGCTAATCCTGAATACGATAATGGTCCTCCTCCCCGTCGAGGCGGTGGATTTTTGCGTGGTAACCTTCCTCGAAATCGTTCCAGCGCGAGAATAATAAGCCAAGTGCCCGGCTTACACGACAACATAATGGATGATCCCTTAATGGCATATTCATCCGACCGATATGGTACTGTAGATCGACGAGCAATGGGCATGGATTCCAGAGCAAGTTCTTTGACAGCTGCTCGACTGGACGAGTTACAGTATGGATCATCTGGTCCACCTATCCATGGGCAAGGTGGTCCATATCCAACGGCAAGGCGAGCAAGTCAATCACCGGGAAATCCATATAGTCCGCAAGCACAGAGAGCAAATGGCAGACCTTCGCCGCCGAACGGGCATATGGGAGGGCCAATGAATGGTAGACCATCCCCTCCAGGGGCTATGAGGCAGCCTGCACCTCGGCACCCACCGGGTCAGGGAAATATGGTTGCGCCGCAACAGGTTGAGCAATATGCTGGGGTGAGCGCCCTCCATCCACCAAAAGGCCCTATGAACGTACGAAGTCTGACCGGAAGTGCTAGCGCTAGCGCAGGTAGTGGTGACAGCGGCGCAAGCGCCATCCTCGACTCCGAACCATCTGCAAACAGCAGTCAAAGTAGCCTCGGGCCACGTCCGCCCATGGAGGTGAGGTAAATTCAAAGACACAGCTAAAAATTGCTCGATATTTGTCATTTTCTTCTTTAGTTGAAAGTGGCATGGGCTCAGTTTATTTGAATCAGGGACGAATTTCTTCTGACCAATGGCCTTTACCTCCTTCATCTGCATATACACCTTATACCTTCTTTCGAACTTCACTTTAATGGCTTCGACTACTTTCAGACGTCACAAAAATCGGAAACGGCTGCTTTTCGCGGGGGAAATAATGATGAAATACACAATTAGATTTTGGTGGGATTTGAATGAGGAAGCATCGTTGTTTCTACTTTTTCCAGTTGAGGAGGGACGAGTACATATGCATGTGCATGGCGACACTCATCGCGCACAAGTTTTGTTTTTCTTTTCTGGTAATATTGCATTTGGGGTGGCGTCTTCATGTCTGCATATAATTTCTATTCTCAAATTTCCCACATTGCATTGGGATAGCTCATACTAGTGAGTGACTGAACAGTATATTACTTCGTCTGTCCTTCTTGATAAGTGGATTTGTTGGTGGGAGCAATGGAGGGAGATCTTCTTTAGTATATGACAGATAAAGGTTTTTTTCCTTATTTTACTACTTCACTTACTGGCTGGCTTTGACGGAGGAAGGGTTGTGTTCGGAAATGTGTATCAGTCAAATCTTAAAATGGTGGAATGGATGAGGAAGCTGGAAAAGTTTTCATCCCGCGGCAACTGAACATGAAGAGGATAAGTGGGGATGATGGTTATGAGATATCTATTTTGTTGGTTGATTGCTAGATGGATGGGATGGGTATAGGAAAGGGATGGACGGTGTTGTATAGATGGATGGATGGATGGATATGGAGGATGGTCTTAGGCGAATTTTTCATAAGGAGAGTTGGAAGGTCCGATGGAATGCAAGGCTAGCTTTGGGATGGAACACGTTACTATCTAGATCAATAGGGATGGAAGGGTGAGGAAAGATAAGATGGGAAGTCCGGAAGAGCAGAGCTAGTTAGTAGTCAGTCAATCATTTCTGGGAAATAAATACGAGAGATAATTTGGAATTTTTGGAGTGTGTTTTATGTGTTTCTTGATTGTGTTTGTGTTAAGGGGGTTTGTGTTGGTTTTAAGGGTTTGTCTTGTGTGTACAGGATTTGATGGTCTAGGAAGTAATGTGTTCATTGCCTTCTCGTATTAGTTTCCATAATATGTGAATACAAGCGTATTTATACATATATTTGCAACATGTGATACATATAAGACGAATACCTACCTACCTACCTACCTATACATAATATAACATAACAAACGCTCTTTATAATCAATAACCAAATGATCTACCCACTCATTGCTCTGATGTGGGTGGGGTCGTTGATTTTCGATTTTTAATCTTTATCTTTGTTCTGGTACTGGTACTTGGGTCGATAGGTAGAGAGGTGGATGGGTGATATATATCTATATTTGGGATTTCTGTGGGAAAGAGGGGGAGAGGGAAAGGGGGAGGAGGAAAATGTGGATATATTTATGGTGTGGATGGTGTAGTGTATAGTTAGGTGATGTTTAGGCGAATGAATGGGTGTGGACTGGGCTTGTGTTTACAGAGGTGGTTTTGTGTGGATATAATTGTTGATAAATGTAGGTAGGTAGATAGGTGGGTAGGTGCTAAATATATATCTGTTCACTATTTATTATTTATGCGATTATTTATACATATATATACATCTTTTTTTTCCCCTTTAAACGGGAAGAATCAAAGAAAATACGAGTGAAAGCGGGAGGAAGAAGATATGATTTAAGGAAGGATTGAGAATATGAAGATAGGAGATATATAGATAAGGTCTTATATATTGGGGTGAAGTACTGGGATTTAGGGAGTGAGGTTTTGAAATTAGAGTATAGGTATGATTTTATGTTATTTGGTGTTATGTTATTTCATACTATGGTATTATTGGGTTTCTTGAGACCAGAAAGAGCATCAGATTGAATTGATTGATTTTCTAGCTAAGCAGTTAAGCTGCGAGTATATATTCAAAAATGAAGGAATAAGGTTAGGTATTCAGCCTTCAGAATTAAAGTGCTTTGAAATCAAAATATTGAAAGCAAACAAACAGTATACCAAAAAGGAAAGAATGAATTAAAAGTTGAGTTTTGTTTGCTCCTTATATGCATCATGCAATATATATGCATATGCTGCCAAGATCCCAGGAGGTCAACAGGTATGTATGATGAAGGAGGGTTGGGAATATGAAATTTTGTTCTGAGTCTGGATGAGATTTTGCAGGGGGTTATGAGGGTTGAGAAGGTAGTTTGAAGTGAGGTTGTATATATATATATATATTCGGGTAGAAGAGATTTAGGTAAAAACTTTTGAGATATGAGAAACTTTTGAGTATTATGTAGCTATAGATATAGCTATAGATAGGATATAAATGACGAGATAACAAAACAAGCTCGCTAAAACCAGAGTATAACAATAATTTGATAAATTAAATTACGAGATGGAGTTGAATATAAAATAGATTTAAAAAACGAAATCTATTATCAAAGAAGAAGAAGAGGAAGAGAGGAAAATAATTCTACAAGAGGGGAGATGGAGAGAGATGGGATAGATGGATCAGGATCCTATGAAGCTGAAAGAGAATATATCACTTGTATAGTGTTTTAAGAAAAGAGTAATCGTGAAGAAATATCTTCTAATTATTACTTTTTCATCTTGACTGTTTCAGATGTGTTGGTCCTTTGATACTTTGATACTTTGATATCTTGGACTGCTTTCTTTAACGCGGGTTGGGTTTAATACTTACTCACTTACTTATACACACAACTTTCCTCTAAATCCTAACAATAGAAATCATGATAAATTTCGATTTCGAGGTGTTAGAGCTAAATTTATACGAAAGAGTGAAGTACTTGTGTTGTTTACTCAGTCGTTCGTTCATTGAAGATTTACTAAGTTTGTTTTTCTTTAAACTCAGTATTACGATTGTAGTGGGAGGGAAGATGGCAGGAAGAAAATTGGATGCTCCTTGGAGAGGGGTCAGGGGTGCGTTTGCTCGTGTCTTTTGCTTGGTCGGGGGAGGAATTATATATACTAGATGATGACATGTATCGCTTAGCTATATTTGTGAACTATAGTGAGGTGTTTTGGGAGGTAAAGATGTAGTTGTAAAGCGAGGTTCGTGAGATTGCTAATGAGATTGAGTGGGAAATTACTTATATTTGACTTGCCATGAGTGAGTGAGTGTTGTCAATGATACCGAACCTTAAGAGGCGGACGACTAAACATGCGGCTCGAGTGATAAAAAGAACTATTTTTCTATATTAGAAGCTATGTACAGAAAGAAGTGCTTCGTGAAGGTGAATAGATAGCGTACTCGGATATACATAAAACTGGATTATGGAAATTAGAAGACAAACGAAAGCAAACGGCAAGTGGAAGCAAGCGAGGAAGCGAGGAGGATGCCAATGATCTTGATTTGGTATCAGGTATATACTCAAGCTAGGTAAGCTAGGTAGGTAGTCATTTTATTAGAAATATTCGTTGACAAGCAAAAGAAAGCAGAGATGATGAAGGAATCCATCATCTTCATTTCATCTTATATCTCTCCAGCATTCACTTTTATTCTCTTTCATCAAGTGAGCTGAAAAGCATGAAACAAGTATACAGGTAGAATATACCATTTACGTCTAGAAGATTCCGATAAAGTAAAATACCGTCCGCAATCATGTGGGCTACTTAATTCTATCAAGTCCAGCCACTGTTGACAGAGACTATATCTCAGACATTGCTTGCTAGAGTTCCGAGGATGGTAAATCGGTATCAACTGTATCTCTTGACCGCAATGATCTTCCCGACATCCTCCGATTATTTCGATCCAGCAAATAACTTGTCCAGACCACCTCCCATAGTTTTTTGAAGTCAATCAGCAGTCCCTTTTGATCTTCATTTGAAAGTTCCATCCTCACAATTCCACGCACGTGATTATTCAATCTTTGAACTAGTTTCGCCGCCCAATCTTTCACCGCTTCAAGGCCTTCCGTGTTCAGTTCAAATCCCATTGAAGATATCAAGATCTCTCTTGCTAGACATTCTACACGACCCTTCCATTCCATAACCTCATTACTGATCACTTCCAGCCGGCTATTGTCAACCGTCCTGGTGACATAGTTAATCATCAGGCTCTCGAGCCGATTTCTCAAGAGATAAGTTTGCTCCACAAACATGAGGAGGTCGTGAGGTGGCTCGGAAAAAACGTTGGTGTTGTGAAAATATGATGTGAAGCCATACTTGTGTCCTTTGCACTGAGGACAAGGAGGAGCTGTTGTTCGTCGAGATGGATGTGATGGTTGAGAAGCTGATGAAGGTTGAAGCGAAGACGACGAGCCATTGACTTGTTGTATTCCGGGCATTGGAGGAGTTGAAGCGTTTGTTGATGTTCCATCTGGCTCATATAAGGAATTTGCAGGAGAATAGAAAGATGTAATCTCGGCTTGAGAAGCTCGTGTTCCTTCTTTAAGATATTGACAAGGATCATAGACCTTCGTCAAGGAAGAAAGGTCGTGTCTATGAGGAGGTGAAGGTGGAAATTTGAGAGATCCGAGACTTGAAGCCGTGACGTGTTCGGACAATGGAATGTTCATGGTAAAAGCGTAGCCGACGTAAATAAGAGAAGTTTTTAAAGTTAATTTACTTGATTGAGTACTCGTTTTTCGAAATGTCGGTTCGTAGTTGCAACAATGATCTGATCGTAAGTGGAAGGAAGAAAGCCTTATTAATTCAGAGGAATGATTCTGTTAAATGTTTTTTGATAGCAATTCAATCAACGTTTGAAGAGCCAGAAAAGAAAGAGAAAAGAAGGTGTAAGTTTTGAAAGAATGAGAAGGAGAAGAGTGATATGAAAGCAAAGGAAAAAAAACCTGCTACTGCTCTAATTGGCGAATTCAACCTACTTCATGAATTAATTGTGAAAAGGTAAAGAAGTTTGGTCAAGATTGTCATTCAAGTCAACATTATAATATTCATTATACTCTTCTAAAAGAGTTTGTTATGTAGGTATGGATGTTTACTAGGAAATTGAATACAACGACGTCTTTTATTCTAATCATCTAGTGAATGATATTGGTGTCGCGTGGTGTCGTGTTTCGTATGAGGAATCTTCATTACGAACCAAACAAGAAGGCGGTATATCCAAATATGCGGCAGAATTGTATCACTTTTTTGATTTCAAGACCTCCACCAATATATCAATCATACCACAGCGCATTGCAATTCAAGTCAAGATGGCGCCCGAGATGGCTTCAAGAGCTGCCGCTCCGAATAAGCGCAAAGAACCTCCACATACATCATCTAACGGCAGAAATGATTCAGGAAGAGGTCGAGCTATGAAGCGCAACAAGACACTGGATGCGCGATCAATAATGACTCAAACAGCCGACGCTGCTCTCAAAAATGGAGACCTGGACTTACAATCATTTTTGAATGCCCGGGAGTATGAAATAAAGGCATTGGAAGATGGCATGCAAAGATCAAAGGGTGCCTTATCCACCAGAGCATTTCAACAAGTACCGCGGGACATGAGAAGAAGAACAGCAAGTCATAATGTGAAGAGAGTACCAAAACGATTACAAAAGAGAGGGGCAAGGGAGATGAAAGAGGATAATACACCGACTGTCAATGCAAACAAGAGAAAACCGGGAAGTTCAAGGGGTCGCGTTCGTGCAGAAACGGCTAAGAAGTTAGGAATTTTGGCAGACAAGAAAAGAATTGCTAAAGGTACAACGAATGCTGCAGGAATCACAACAAGAGCTGCCCGACCGAAAATACGGAAAAATGCATTGAACAATCCTCCAAAACCGTCGTCGAAATTTCGGAAGCGACAAATTCACAAAACATGGTTACCTACTCATTTATGGCATGCAAAGCGAGCGAAGATGACAGAACCTAAGGAACCACTTTGGAGAATGGCTATACCACTCACTTGCACAGAAAAATCATACAGGCCGACACATAGAGCAGGGGAGAGTAGAGGGGCTGTGGCTTGGGATATAAGTTATACAAGTACTATTGGTCTTAGGGGTTCAATTGAGTCTCTTGGAAAGGTTCTTGTAGCCATTGGAATACCGGAGATTGATATAAACACGGCTAAAGGTTCAAAGTGGAGAGCAGGCAGAAGAAGCTGGAACGGGTGGCTAAGCAGAGAAATGAAAGAACAAAAACTACAGATTGGCCCTGCCGTCGCGTTGTGGGATATTCCTGAAGATGTCACAGATAGCAATGCTACCAATGTACCGAAGAAGTCAATTAGACAAGTCTTGATCAGAATACATCCTTCTGCATTCCTTGAGACGTGGACTGAGCTTCTGCGCCTATCAAAATTGCAACATCCTGCCATTCAGCTTGAAGACCTCCGTTTTGAGATTGGAAGTATCGAAATAACTGGTCCTGGTTCAACTGAAGCTTTAATTGGTATACTTCATCCATATAACCAAGCTGAAGATGATCAAGAACCACATGCAAAAACATTTACTTCATTAGCTGGTGTTACCAACCCTGCCTCTTTACCTGCAAACACTATATTATCATTCTCAATCATGGATCCTAGACTTCGCTATCCGCCTCGCAAAATCGAACTCCCAGATCCTGCCGATGAGGAAGCTAGTTTTGATTTAGCGGAAATGTTATCTACATGGCCGGCAGATAAGTCACCCGCTTCATCACCTCTCTTTGATCGAGACATACGATACAAAGCTACTCGTCTTCCTTCGCAGAAAGCCTTGAACCGTCGCAAAACCTTAGCACCGCCGGGCACTTTTCCTTCCGTTTCAGAACGTGATCCTTCTATACCAATCATGCTTCTCACATCAAGGATGTCACAATCCTCAGCAGCACAAGGTAGCTGGACTCTTCTCGCCCCATGGAAGTGTATACTGCCAATTTGGTATGGCTTGATGCACTTTCCTCTTTCGTCTGGCGCCAATCCTCGTTTTGGAGGTCTCCAAGAGTTGAGACAATCACATTTTGAGCATGGAGTTCCATGGTTTCCAGCTGATTATCCTGGAACCAATGCTGGCTACGCTTGGGAAGTCGAGCAAAGAGAGAAGAGGAAACGAGAATGGGATAAGCGACCAAAGGGGAAGAGAGTCGAATGGAAATCTCTTGATCTCGGTGGTGGAAGAAAAGGAGAACTTGGATTGGGCTGGGCATGTGACTTTGAGAAAGTGGCTGGGCTGTCTAGAACATCGGATCCTGAACAGGGCGATTCCAATACAAGGTTGGAGCCAGAAACTACCGCCGAGCCCAAGGATAAAGTCGTCGAGAATCCTTTCAATCAGTTCTCCAGCAAGAACCTCTCTTCTCTGCTTTCATCCCCCGAAGCGGATCTTCCAGCACCAGCAGAACTTACCACTATCCGCCTCACATTTTTAACCCGTGGGGTTGCCACTCCCACCGCTCGTATCTACCGCCTTCCAGCCGAGCCAATCGTGAGCGAAGATTCGATAAACTCCACTTCTACCAACCCCCCAAGCCTTCGTCAAGAATGGCTTTCCCTCGTTCCTGCACCCATAACCAAGAAACCACCACCCAATCCCAAAGCCAAAGATCTTCGAAAAATTAGTAAAATACCATTAAACACAGCCCTTCCACAACGCATCCAACTACTCGCAAAATCCCTACTGCAAAACCCACCATTAAAATATCCAAAGGAGAAAAATGATTCGGGCAATCACCCATTGGTTCCTAATGAGGAGGATCTTATTGGTTTCGTTACTACAGGAGAGTACAATCTAGCAGAGGGAAAGGGCGTTGCTATAGGAGCTGTTTCTGCGAAACAGATACTTGAGGGTGTCAAGAGTAATGGGTTGAGGGTGGGTATGTTGTGTATTGTGAGGAATGCGGGGGAAACGGTAGGAAGATTGGCGAGGTGGGATGTGGTTTGATTGATATGGTGTTGTGTTGTGTTTGGTTTGTTGTATTCTTGAAGCGAGGAGGAGTTAGAATACTAGGTATACTTATACTTGTACTCCTAGCTGCGAAGTGCATGCCTTGAATCTTGAGCATCAATATATTATCTGGTTTGTGAACCTTTGATGTAAGATTAATTCTTTCATTTATAAAGTGCGGGAAAGCTGGTATCTCGTTCATTCAATCAGCAATCGATCGATCTATTGTCAAAATCTCATAAGGTTACTCTCATTCTCTCCCTTTCCGCATTGCGGGATTGCCATCCTGTGCATTATAAAAAATATCTAAATCCTCCAATTCATAAAGCAAGTATATAATTAAAAAAATTAAAAAATTAAAATGAAATTAAAGTTAAAATTTAAATTTAAATCATACACAACGATATAAAAAGATTAATTATTATTTTTATTTTTATTGTACAAAATATAATAAATAAAAATATATATATATGTTACGACGGGCTACACAACTACCAAGACACGTGATCACAAATGATCAGTAGTGATCATTAAGGATCACTAAGGATCACGGTATAGGTGATCACTGGTGATCATTAAGGATCACTAAGGATCACGATATAGATGATCACTAATGATCATGAAGGATCACCAGTAATCATGGAAGCATGAAGGACTATATAATCAAGATGGATTTCCTTTGTATAGAGCTTCGTGCTCAAGATCAATCATTTAGTATATCCTACTATTAGTTACGAATTGCATATCATTATTGTCATTACTTAAGTCCCTGCTTGACGCCTAGTTATAAACCACCTCGAGAGCCTAGAGCACTTCCACGTGATCTAGACGGCAAACCTCGTAACAATATAATGATTGAATCAGATGAAATCATATTATAATATATTATGTTAAAAGGAATGACCTCACACAGGGAATAGTGGGAAGCTGATAGGGCAGAACTGAGGTAATATTGGTCTAGTAGGTTAATCTCTCTTCTAAGTTCTACGGAAGTGCGAAGCTCTCTTACAGAGAGCTTCTCAATCTAGTCCTAATAGGACTAGTGCCCTGTGCACGTGCTACGCAGGAACCATTCACTTTAACATATTATAGTATTAATAACTTAATATATCTATAATATATTTATAAAAAAATATTGACGAAGCTATTACTATTGATATGTATACACATAGATTTGATTATTAGAAGTGTTATGTTCTGGAGGTGTTTAAGTTCGAGTTAGAGGTGTGTAGGTGTTGACCTCCTGGGATCTTGGCAGCATAAGCATATGCATATTGTATGATGCATATAAGGAGCAAACAAAACTCAACTTTTAATTCATTCTTTCCTTTTTGGTATACTGTTTGTTTGCTTTCAATATTTTGATTTCAAAGCACTTTAATTCCGAAGGCTGAATACCTAACCCTATTCCTTCATTTTTTGAATATATACTCGCAGCTTAACTGCTTAGCTAGAAAATCAATCAATTCAATCTGATGCTCTTTCTAGTCTCAAGAAACCCAATAGAAGGAAAGGAGTGTAAAGGGTTCCAGTTGGGGTGATGGAGGTTGAGATCGCCTAGTAGGATAGTGTTTGTTGGGAATCTCTATAATTCGAAAATTAAAGTGATAGCTTGATTGCTGTCTACATATTGTACTGGAGTATTATATATATTTATGATAGTGAATATCGAATTGTTTGTAGAGAGTAATTATATAAAGATTAGATCTTGTAAGATTATAGGCTTAATTTGATTAATTTATATTCCAATTCCTTTTCTGATATAAGTTAGAATCTGGGGAGTATTCTTTTAGTTATTTATTGAAGTGAAGATTTTGTAGGAGGGATATGTTTTGATGATTTTCCTTATTATATTCTTGTAGATATATAGTTCCTGAATCATAATGATATCAATCTGATCTGAGTTTGTTAGGTTGAGGGCAAGATCGTATGAGATTCCTTTTTTGTTAATGTTTGTTTGGGTAATTGTAAGTGGTTTATAATTCATTAAAAAATATAGGGATTGAGTTGGCGAATTCTATAAAGTGGTTAGCGGAGCGGGTGCTAACGAAAGTTGTGGAGTGGATAGAGCCAAATAAGCGGGTAGGGGTTCTTGATTTAAGTTGGTCTGAGGGAAAGGGAGGGGTAAAGGAGTCGGTTATTTGTATATTGGATAATGGCTTGGAGTATCCGGTCTTTACACAAATAGAGTTTCTGTTTTCGAGGTATATCTTCTAGATTGTCTAATATTCTGATTTTGATTTTTTTTCTTTTCCTTATAGACGAAGAGAGTATTTGGGGCTATTTATAGAGTAAGGATTGTTGCAATGAAGATATTTGGATAGGTATATATATATTGTGACGGAAAAGTCGTAAACGGAGTCAATTCAATCACTTAGAATCTAAAACTAAAGAACTAAGAAGATTCTAAGTAAGAAGGTCTTTATATAAAGGGCTAGTGCACGTGAGCCACTAGTGGGTAACAACCGTCACGTAACATATATAATGCTATAATTGATAGTATAATTACTTTTTGCATATTTTCCTGAATTATATAAATAATAGATTTGTGATTTGAGGTATGTTCTTGTATTGTGTTATTGAAAGCAATAATTATATTAAATGATCTTTGGTTTTTGTATTAGGAGAAATATATTGATATTAGTCTTTAGGATCTTCAGGTTTTTTTTGAGTGATTCTATTCTTATCTTGAAGCTTACTATTTTTATTGAGTAATATTCGTTAGATGAAGGGTTTGTTTGGGATTGGATAATATAAGTAAGCGTTTAATTAGAGTATTTCTTTATAATATCGGAGATTGTATCTTTTGTAACTAAAATGAAGTCTATTTTGAATTAATCATTGAAAATGGTGATTTTCTTAGGGATGTAGTTTAGATAGTAAATAATCCATTTCTTTTAGATCTCAATTTTGTAATCTTTGATTGTGAATAATATAATGACTTTCTGTTTTTCAAGGGCTAGTAGATTGATTGTTGAGCTGATACAAAGAACGAAGTTTGTTTTGATCTTTTAAATCTCTTTTAAAAAAGAGGTATTCGGTCTGAGGACTTTCTTTAGAATTGTAAGGATTGCAAAAGATCTAATGTTTTGGATTGAATGATTTTGGTTGATTTGTATAAATAAACAATTATTGAAGGGAATCTTGTTTGTAAGGATAATGATTGAAATAGAGATTTTTTGTATATAAAAGGGCTTAGGGTTTATAAATATTATAGATATATTTGTAAAGATAATAGTTAAAGGTAAAAAAGAAGAAAAAGGGGTAATAAACAGAGTAGTAATTCCTTTAGGAAAGGGGTAACCAGTAACAAAGGTATCGAAGTGTCATTCGATAGCTGTCTTAAACTCAAGGCAAAGAGAGGTGAGGAGTTTTCGTGAACTCGGTGGGAGAGCATGGACTTCCTCAAAGCTTAGGTAGGTATCTAGGAGTTGGGTAACTGGGTTGAAGATGGATTGAGCATCGTTGACCTTATTGAGAAGGTTGCTGGCCTTGTCGGAGAGTGTTTTAGAGAGGTTTGGGGGGCTTGGGGTAGCCATCGAGTCTCGACAAGAGTAGAGATTGATTGATTGATTGAACCAGAGTAGAGAGTTTTCCTGTGATTAAATACAAACGGGGCATGCCACGTGACCCGGAGGCGTGAGGCGTCACAAAAGGGTGGCCCATATTAGGGTACTAGACTTAGCTGATGAATATCAGTCATTATGATTAGTTGGCGTCAACATGCACGTATGCATAGGCAGAAGGAGATAACATTTTTCATAGATTATCGGCGGAACTTGAATGAGTCCACTAGCATACAGACTTTTCCCTATCATAATGACTCTTATCCCAAGTCAACCATGCCTCCTACATATTTATGACTGCCCCCAGATATGATGACCCAGGTCTAAAAGTTTGCGCTGAGTGGATTACAGAGGAGTGCTTACCTCAAGTAGAAAATATTGGCGAGAAATGAGATAGGCAAACGAAGATTTTCAAGCTGATCTCGAACGTGTGACGCTAAGCTTTCATAACTTTTCCCATGGAGAATGTACTTCTCGTATCTGGTTCTTATTATCTCCACTTTAGCGATTGATCTTCGCTCAATAGTGTATCTGTGTACGGGCCGACGCGGGGCTTTCACATGTGCAACGTGTCATTGACGTCGAAATAAACTTGGCTGTCTCGGAGTCCACCTGTTTCGATATTATTGTCGTTCTATTCCCCTCGGTGCCATATTTAAACTGAGCGTAGCGGACACACTGGGCTGTGTGAAAAACTGCTTTGGTGGGTTTAAAGGGACCAGATACTGATATCAAACGTTGGAAGTTGCATTTAGAGTTTTATTTCACATTTCTATTCTTACACAAGAGCAAGAATGGACAAGAAAACTAGATGCTCTGTCGAGATCACAGGGTCTTTCATTCAAGCATTGACATGTTTTAAGGATTTCGATATTAGATTCGAACGCTTGGGTGACAGAAATTCCGCTGATTTGGAAAACCTTTTTAGTCTTAATCGAACTTTCGACATCATTCCATCAGACGCCGATGGCCAATCTTATTTTGTGCTGCAGTCTTGTCCTAACAAAGCGTATTTGGGGTTTAGTTCTGACCATCGACGACTCTTGATGCGAAAAATGCAATATCCTCCACCTAGTTCTTTTCGTTTTGTCTTTCTATCAAACACCCAAAGCAGCAATGGTGATTATGATATTCCTGCTCGCTTCCAAGCCGCAGACGGGGAGCCTGTCAACGACCCTACAGAAGCTGGCAGGCAGGTTCAATTATTTGTTCGTCCTTTCCAACAGGCTCCTTCAAGAACCATTGATGAGTCTTGGAAACAACAACTAGCTCTAATCAGTGTTTTGGGAGAGGAGGAGACATCCGATGAACCAGCTGTACATTCTGGAACGAGAGGACTAGGTGGGGATAAACCGAATCTAGACAATCAATCTGAGCTTGACATGGTTTCCGAAATGATTAGAACAGGAGACTTAAGTGATGCAATTGACGCCCTTGCAGAGCAAAAATACGACGATCAGCACCTCTATTTCTTCCTTATCGATTATAAAAGCTGTTATTGATGGCTAATTGCGCTAGACGCTTCCAATGAACCTATATCGCCAAAAACCGTTCTCAAAGTGGCCCAGCTCCTATGCATAATGAGTAAGTGTGTCTATATGAGGTTTGTGCCTAGATTCCAAGGGAATGTCGCCGAAAAAGAGTGCTAACATGGCATGTTTATGGCAGAGACTTTGAAGCTGAGAAAATCATACATTCAAAGATGCAACAATACGAAGAGGAGATCAAAACAGCAAAGCAAAATTCCAGACCCATTAGCCAAGCTGCTTTAAAAAAAATAGAGGAGATACAAGGACTGGGAGGCAGAGAGACGGAGAAGATAGAACAGGTGGTATGTCACAGATCAAGAATTTCCATAATCAGATAAAGTCTCTAATTTAATTTAGGCAAAAAAGATGGGGTTAAAGTATCGACCCCTTTGCAGTAAGTGATCTGGCTCTATAAAATTTGAGATAAATTCATGGCTGAATTCACCCATAGACTTTTCTTCTGAGGGGAAGGTTCTTCGCAATGGTCCATACTGCGGCGCATTCTATAGCCTCGACAAACCTTTTATTGTCGTAGCATTTAAGGTAATCATCATTCCATTTTACCTCTTGTTTCTGACTAATAGGAACACAAAGGGAACTGGAAGGTATCGTGAATGGATTACGGATTTTAAATTTAGGATGAAGGACGCAGAAAATTCGAGCCCCTTGCTAGGCAAATGTCACCTTGGATTCTTCGACGGGATCTTCAAAGACTTCCCATGTGAATTATCTACAAATAAGTCAATCCGAATAGCATTGCCATTTCGTAAGCATCAACATCCATTTTACTGCCTATCTTGTATAAACTGACATTTCGGAGAAATGATAAGACTCCAGCTCTGGAAGCTTGAGAAAGAGATCATCTCCCATACATTTCCTGGAGGACTGAGAGTTCAATTGTGGACAACCGTAAGTTCCAAAGGATAAGCTTTAAAGATGTGCAAGTTTGTATTTTAACTGATTCATCAGGGTCATTCTCTCGGTGGAGCATATGCCACGAATCTCTGGACAGGCTTACTGGGAGACATGCAATTTTCGCACACAACAGTTCGCGATCTGATAACATTGAGCAGCCCCCGAGTAGGTAATAAAACTTATGCTACCCATGTGAAAAATCGCAGGGCATTTCGAAAATCATGGCGGTTTGTAAACGGTAATGATGCCATTCCAGCTATACTTGTTAGAGACATTTTTTCGGGAGAGGGATACTATCACGTGGACTCTCTCGTGAGTATTTCTCCGTTTAAAATCTCATTAGGGGAATCGGAACTGCCAGAGGGAGGACAACTTGCAGTCCCCCAGGACGAACTTGGCACAAAAAGTATAATAAACCTGGACCTATTCAAAAACCATAGTGAGCCTATTCCTACATTTCGTCTTCAATAGCAAAATAACCATTAACTGCTACACCTAGCACTGGATAAATATTGGGAGTCGCTAAGGAATGAAGCTTTTACTGGACCAGATACGTGGCCATGAATTTTGAAATTGATCTTTGGTTTGCCAGGGCGGAATGTCCATTCGACGTCTTGTGTTAACGGATACTATTGACCAAGGCCGAATCGTATTACATTCAATACTATAAAATGGGGAGGAAAGAAGGTCGGGGACAACATGTTTATTGAAAAGAACGGAGTGGGGAAGAAGGGGTGAAGTGCTAGAATCATAACATCTTGGCTCGATACTATTCTCTCATTATAAATCAGCAGAGAGTTGTTTTAATTAACTCAGACCTGAATTTTCTCAGTAACTAACCATCACAATCATATATGTCTTGATGATGAGGATAAGAGGAAAAAATGTGTTCCGGCCCATGACACAATATTCTCATTCCGAATAAAACAAACTATAATATAAATCATGAAGGTGCCCTAGAAAAAGAATTCAAGGAGCAGAGCAAGAGGAATTATTTTTCAGGCATTGGGGGGCGCAAGACAAAGCTCGTTCATATATCAGACAAGACGTCCCTAATAACCATTGCAAAACAATTGAGGGGGATCCTCTTCTTTCCATGAGGTGTGATGCTGATAATGTCCTAGTCGGATACTAGACTACGTCGGAGCGGGGACTTCAGCCGAACAACAAATTGAAAAAGAAGCAAAAAAATTAAAGGTCGAACATTTACGAAAAACAATGCCGCTAACAGGAACCGACATCATGGCAATATCTAGACTTCTATGAAATCCCACACAGTTCCCTCTCCATCCGTCTCCACCAATTCCGTGTCGTCATTCCCAATTTTCATCTGTCGAAATTTATCCCCATGCAACATCAATAAGAGATGTCCACCAGAAGGGTGAGCTCTGGTGCAAAACCATTCATGGGCTCGGTGGTGCAAAACCTTGCAATGGAATTTACCATTGCCGTCATGACCAAAAAATCGTCCCGAGACACAATTACGAAAGCCAAACCACCCGTCGCGCTCTGTGCATGTCCAATGACATCCACCTGCTCGGGGAATAGTGGGAGATACTTGGAAACTTCCCTCCTTGAGCGTGATTATTCCACCACGGCTGCGATCTCGTATCATGAATGTCTTGCCAGCGTGGGGAACTGTATCGAGGGAACGAGTGTGGGAAAAGAAATCTTCGGTCATGGCTGTGTGAGTGGGTGTATTAGAACCAGTTGTGAAAGAAGCTGTTTCCGATTTCGCGACGGCATTATTTTCTTCATACCCTATTTCCACTTCGGAGATGTTTTTAAGGAGACTGGGAATATCGAGTAAGGTGAGATGTGGTTGCGTCGGACCTTCGATCTCAATTCTCAATACATCTTTCCAAGGTGTTTTATCTGGCAGACCCTTCGAGTCGAGGATCGTGTAAATCTCTTTATTGGCCAGATACACAGCATTTGGAAGTTCACCAATATGAGCAAGAGATCTTTGAAATGCGTTGAAGCTAGACTTTTGTGAAGCGGGCCGTGAAAAATCAGGGATCAATCTGAGTGTGAAAGAGGTAGCTTCGCTATGTCGCAGAGTGATCTCAGTGGAAAATGGAGTACGCAGCTTCCAATCTTCTCCTGATAAGACATCACCACTAGAGAGATTGCCGGATATAATAAGATGCGGGAGTGATTCCTTTCGATCAAGACCATGTTTGCGAAGTTTGGCGATAAGCTCCTTCACGTGCGGATCTATGGGAGAGGGATTCATGTTAATAAGAGTCGTTTGTAGTGTGGGACAAAGCCCAGCACGTTAAAAGGGTTGAGTGTGAACGTCGAGTTTAACTACTTAAACAAGCAGCTCCGGAACTCGGAAGAATCACTTCTTTAACTATGGCTTCTGAGTATTTGTTTTTCTTTTTGAACACCATGATATGATAATAGTTTGGATAACGTTGTGGTTGCCTTGCCACGTGTGCCTGTGCCTCACGCACACTTGTGAAGGTTGCATTGCATACTTATGCACTCCATCACTTCAATGAGAAGACTGACATTGTGAGATGATTGGTTAGCAGTTGTTTAAAGTTGAAAAATACTTGTTAAGTGATGCCAGCCTGTACCGCTCGCCTAATGATCCAATCGCTATCCTAATTTTCGGATGATCTTCGGCAAATTCTAGAAGCATTTACGCTCGCGGGGGAGAACTCCTAATATTTGTGCTTCTTACGCAGATGTCTCTTTGTACCAGTCTCATGTTCATTATTCATAGGATTGCTTAGTGGCAGTCAATATCTATTAGACACGAGTATCAAGGCAGTGAAGGATGAATCTTTTTTTGCTGCATCAATTAAGGTAGCTCGTTTGAATGGAACAACATGTAAAGTCTATCCACATGAGCCATTGTGTTCTTGGCTACATAGGGGATAATTCGGATGCTTTTCTCTTCAGCATAATTATACAGCCTTTCACCATACTAGGATGTTCCGTTCAACCGTCTCATTTCGATGTATTGCTCTTTCTCACAAATCCTCCATCTCCCTCAGATACGATGCAAAACCAGCCTATGCGCAATCTCCAGAGGATTCAAATCACTTATGGCCCCCTCATGAGATACATGGGACATACCTTACAGAAATATGCATTGTGCGGGTTTGATCGTAGGGCACACTTGCTGTAATTGGGAAAGGCCTAATGCAGAGTGAACATAATATCATTGTGCGCCTCATGCTGATAATCAACTTCTGATTGATTGTTCTATGCGTGCTGATATATCTTCTAGAAAAAATTCAGCCTACAAAGATCCTTTAAATCGAGACAAGTCAAGCTGTGTGTCTCATCTAACATTGACGGCAATCTTTCTCTCTCTACTCCGCAAACTCAAATATACGGGAACAGACCTTCTCATACCGTTTTCAGCTTTTAGTCTTTGGCAGTCAATACGCAATGCGGATGGTTCCAGATCAACAGATCTTATTCAGTTTATAATACCTGGTCCCCAATAACCTTACACTTTTACAAATTCAAGTACCAGGAAATCTACCATCACCATATCGCACCTCCACTATTGTTTTACCTTCTCGTCAAAACTTCTTATTGAGCTTCATTTGATGGTGTGGAGACATTCCACATTTCCCTAAATCATAGAAGTGCAATGCAGCGATATGCAAAACTCATCTATCTCAAGAATGTCCCCTCTCTGCCTCTTGTCTCGCTTAAAACTTGAGCCGAAGCTCTTCAAAGATATGCACTAAGTTTTGGAACTCGTATGAGTATCAAGTCATATGATCCTGACACTCTAATCTTTGATTTGGGATTCTTTCGAAATAACTACGCGAGCGACTGCATGCCTTCCGAAGAATGCCGCCGAATCAAACGAATTCGTACCTTGGATAAGACTCCACATCCTCTAGCAATCAACCAAGAGATGCTAGATTTGTATGCATTTACAGTGCTGGAGAAAGTCTCCATCCTAGGATTCCTTAGGTTATGTCAATTCGGGGTCTCTAGAAGACACTAGATCTCTAGTATACATACATGTTAAAGTTAAGCGAATAGTTGAAGTGTTAGATGTTGACCTGACGAATGACTAATTAGTTCCGAAATCTGCTTGTCTGAGTTATGGTGGTAACTGCATGAACTAAAGATATGTTTGGTTTTGAGAGTGGGCTGCGACTCTGGCTGGGCTAAGGAGGTCACTAAAGGCTAGTTGGACGAGCATCTTCACAAAGGTGTCCGGGGGCCTTTTCTCGTTTTAGATGAAGACATAAGACCTAGGCTTAGGTAACCCGCATATGCCGGAGCACGTGGGATTGATAGATTATATTGAGGAATTCTGCATTAAGGTTGAGTTATCTGACATGCTATGCCACCTTCTCTTTTCCCTATATTGGGATGAATATAGGCCGATGATGGATACGTCATTGCCAATGGCCACCAATCGAGCGGATAAATGAAGTTGATGAACTTAATGACAAGACGTGAATAAAACCCCAAATTTTGCGTTGATTCCACTCGTCCAATCTCAAAGCTTTTATTCCATCTTGTGCTAAGAGAGATGATTGTCTATGAACAACTTTTAATATCTGCAACAGAAATTGACGTTAATGAATGCTTCACCGCCTTTGGCAGAATATAGTACGCGACATCGACAATCTCCGACACCTTGAAAACCACATTCCTCAGCGCAATTCTCAAACCACACTCTCATAATTTCTTCCAATTCATCCTGGCTTCTCTGAAAATCATATCATCACACCCATAATGCCCAAAGAAAAGTCTGTCAATCCCGCGCAAGCCCAGCGCAAAGCTGAAAAGGCAAAGGCTATCAAAAAAGGTATGTATGCAATCATTCAATGCAGATGTTAGCTGGTGCCAGAATATTAATATATCTTCAGGCAAGGCCTCTCTACAAGCTCAGAAAAATGAACGACTCGCCAAAAAGAATCCACAACGTCTACAAGCCCAACTCGATGACCTCAAAAAGATAGAAAGTTCTGGTGGAAAACTCACAAGTCATGAACGGTCATTGATAGACGGATTAGAGAAGGAAATAAAAGCTGTAAACAAAGCGCGTGAGGCTTTGGGTGATGCAGCACCCCAGTTTTCACATTCGAGAGGTGGATTTGGTGGGGACAGGGGAGGAAGAGGGGGTTTTGGTGGAAGAGGTGGTGGCGGTGTTTTGGGGAAAAGGAGAAGGGATGGGGGAATGGAGGAGGAGAGCAGTGACTCAGATGTAGATGAGGAGGTTAAGAGGATACCGATGCCGAGAGATACACCACCTCCTTTCCCGAAAGAAGTGCTGGATAAATGGTATGCGGCGCGTCGAGCACGGTATCAGGCACAAAATCAAAATCAAAATGACGAGAGGAGTGGAGGCACAAATGCAAATTCTACGCCGTTGGGAGGAAAGGATCGTGGAGACTTTGGTGGTCAGGATTCTGGAAGTGGTAAGAAGGTGCAGCAGGAAGTTAAGACGGTATATGAAGCGAAACCACAAATACGAGATTTAAGAAAGGAGGCTGTAGCTTTTGTACCGGCGGCTGTGAGGGCAAAGATGCAGAAAGGGAAAGGAGAAGGCGGATTAATGGAACCGGAAGAGATGGAAAGGTTAGAGAAAGAAGGTTATATTGCTGGCAGTGGTGGGCAAAGGGAAGATGCTGGGGATAGTGGACAAATGAATGTAGAGATGGAGGAAGTGGTGGATGAGGATTATGCCTAGGTTGCATTGACAGGCCTGGAGAGTATATATGTACGATATGTGATAGATGATACCCCGCGAGATTGAACGAAAAATCAAATTTTTCGCACTGCTTTAAGAATGGACTCTAAATGATTAATTATCGCGTTCACATCCCACGGAGTCAGAAGTTGGAAATTACCATACAAGTGTATGCTATGAAGTCGAAAGGAGTTACTGCGAAAAGAGCATTTCGGTGCCCAGTGTACTTGCAATATTCAGTGAAATGCAACGACTGTGCCAAATTTGGCATTCTTAGTCTACCAACGTCGAGTCCATGGGCTTCTTGCTATGGCTAATTTCCGATGCCAAAAGCTTGCTATGACCGCAACTGTTCAATCGACTCAACGTTAGTACTAAACCCAAAGCCTTATATGGCCAACCGCAGAGTTTTCTTGATGTATATTTGAGCTTTCCGTCTCCTTACACATTATGTGAAAGAGCTGGAAAAAGTACAATGTTGACATGCAATTGGAGGAAATCAAAGCTACTGGCTCCTTATTAGGAATCCTGTCTTAATACCTACCTGCTTTGGCATATCAAATCTTTTTGTTGGAGATCTACCAGATGGGATTAGAAAGGAACATTTAAATCAACAAGTGCTTGGATTTGGGCTCCTTTTTATCACCAAAGAGCTTTAGTACCTAACTGCTCGCCGCCACTCCCTCTATTATATCACATTCACATCACATATCTCACCCGAAAGAGATGACCTTTACGTGTACCCATCTACTATCCTCACTTCTCTCTACTATCTCGGATATCATTGTAGTTACTGTACATCTAATTCCAACCCTGAAAGAGACATGGACGTCTATTTGCATTATGATCGTTCAATAAAGATAATAGATATGATAGGTAGGGCTGAGTTATGCCAGAACTTTTTTATTTCATTTTTATATGATAGATTCTTTAAATCCAGTTACTATAGTATTCTCCGTGATCATATCAAATACTGGCAACCAATCCCAAAATTTTCTTTGGGAAAATCTAAGTTGGAATCAGATCCATGACCAAGAGTCGAGACATTGTATTTAATTTTGTAGGAATCGACTAGCATGACTAATTCTCCATGCTTCAAGCTCCTTGTTGTGTTGTTATTCAAGTTCATAGTTCATGCGAGCTTCCATTTTAGGAGATCATTGAGATACTGCGTATCCCGGGCTCCCGAAAAATCTATACCCTTTGATCTATATCTCAGCGTCTGTTAAAGGGCGAAATTCACAGTACGAAGGACCCTTGTGTGCCAAATTGTATACTTTGATATCCTTTTGGCTATTTATTAGTGGAATATCTACATCCCCGCTCACTTCATGGGTTGTAGTTCTTCCTGTCTAGGTTTTTCCTGTCGTATTCATAATATCATAGTTCCCAAAATCGTCAATATTGAAGCAGTGGTCAAAAATATGTGGCTAAATCACTGTGTTCAATTATTAGGATTATTAGGCTCGATGTGAAGGCTTTTAGTATTTGAATCATTACAAGCCTTTGGGATAATTTGTTCATTTATGTGAAAGGAAAGTTCAATTGTCTTGAATGTTTTAAATGGTCTAAATGTTCCACATAGTTGGATCTTCACGAAAAAAAAAGACTAGACCCTGCAAGTAATGTAATAGCAGCTGGGATGGAACAGCTTAACAATACTACTGCTTGAAACTCCACCTAGCCTCTACCCTCTATCCTCTTCTCCAAATACTATTGGCTTTCCGAGTGCAAGGAGGTCAGTTGAATGTCACTTTCAGGTTATCCAAATGAAATGCTTCATGAACTATGTAATTTCCTCACACAGTCTGCTAGTATCCCAATGTTGACTTCAACTATCATCTGCTCGGATTGCAGTTTTATACCGAAGGATATTAGCCCTAAATACAGAAGTAACGTTCAGAGTATCGAATGGCCACAACCGTAAAAGCTATCATTCCTTGGAGACACCACTTCCACATAGTCATTACTTAGAACAAGTTTACACAAACTCTAGATTATCCCCAGTATAACTATATACCTCTGGAATCCTTTTCTTTTTGGCTACATTTCTTCCAATTTTTTCCCATGTAACTTGTTCTCATATCTCAAAACTTGTCCCATTGGAAGTTCTTTCCTGGTAAACACTAAAGTCTTATAATTAGCAGTACCGTCACCAGTTTTGATACTATGACCTAGAAAATAGAAAGGGTAAAAGGGGAAGCTATTTCCTCAGAATTTTATATATAATAGCTCCAATGTACGGATTTGAGTTGATTGATATCTTTGAATGCCTCAATGTTCTATATGAAAGACGCTCAGCCTCTCATCATTTTATACAGCAAACATCACCATTAAGTTCCCCCACCCTTCATCCTACACAAAATATAAATAGTATTAAATACTAACCGAGTACTAAAGATCGATGAACTGATTTCTGCTTAAAAGATATCGGGTATCAATCTCAAACTCGGAGATGTAAATCCAGATTTTGAAGTTCTCCAAGTAGAAATGCATGGATGTGTAGGGGGGAGAATATTGATATTATAGTAGATGTGTGAGAAGAAAAAAGAAGAAGAAAAGAAAAAATTTGACGATAAAAATCTGGAGTATGTCAAATCAAAAATCATATTTTTATAATACAAAAATGCGTGGTAAAAATAAAAATTGTCTTCTCTATTTCCTACTCTCTTCCTCATTTTCCATTACCCGTGAGCCTTCCATCACTCTCTGAGTCTACGAAAAGAAACTACCATGCACCCTGAAACTAGCACATGAATTCAAATACCCTCCGTCTCAATATCAGAATCATCATCTGATATTTTTCAAGAAAAATCTCAGCACTTAGTGGTCAGGGTCAACCACTCAATCCATAGCCAATGAAGCAAATATTCTCCAACTACCTCACTTAAGCTTCTCCCTTCTCAAGAAACAAATACTCACATCACGATTTAACTCTTCATATCATACTGTACACATCATTTGATAATCAAAAATGGTATACATACATACATCATCTACATCATCTCCACAACGCCACGGATATCCATCACCTAATGGAGTCCGGAGTATGCTGTGCATAGATTTGTCTTCTCTCCGATCTGTATATGAAATCAAGGCAAGAATGAACTCCACGTAACAAAGTATGTGACAAATCCAATCACTTGACTAGATTTACACGGCGAGGTAAAGGAATAAATCGACTGGATGAATCGGCATATAGCATATGGATTGAAATCTCCACCTACCTACCGATCAATCGATCGGTCATAAGAATCATAGCTGACAGATGACTACCAGCCCGAGTGTTCAACCGCCACCGTCATTAGCGATTATATTACCAATAATCATTGAAATATCCATTCAGCGCTCTTAAAGCCGATCCGATGCAATCCTATCTTACCCAATCCTATCCTATGCCATGAATTCCACTCGAAATTTCAACATCTAATCACAGCCTATAATCCGCACCATCATTCCCATATGCGCATTTTAAACATCTAGGCACGAAAGCGGCACAGAACCCACCATGGCAAAAACCTCCTACAGCTTCCAAAACAACCAACCACTAGGTAACAATAGATGATCTACATACTCTCACTCAGCGCGTCTGCTCACTATGACTCAACTCCAAAACACGACACGCTCACATGTTTTGGGCGATCCTCCGGGCGCGAAAACATGTGATGTTTAATTAAGTACTGGGTTAAGATGATTCAAGTAAGATATCTACCAAGATATCTACCTAGTATAGATGAGACATTTGAAATGGGAATGAATAAGGATGAACACACGGACAGGGGATTATCCAGTGAGAAATTAAGTACGTATCTAGGCAAATAATTAGATCGGATCGGGTCAGATCGAGATTAGGGTCATGTGCGGTATAGGATTCGAGGACTTGGTATGTAATCATGTATGTATGTGTGTGTATGTATGTATGTATGTATGAGCTGGAACGGTAAACGGGCTCTAGAAATCTTGCAGAATAGACGGTGAAGTGAAGGAGGGAAGAGAAGGAATGAGCATATGCATGGATCGGTGTGAAGAGTGTGTACGGAAGCATATCATAGCCTTGCCTTGCCTTGATTTGCCTTACAGACCGAGTCTGCAAAACCAAGGCTTCTTCAACATCAAACTTCAGATCCACTATACGAAAAAAAAAAACAAAAAAAAAAACAAAATCTTAAATGCACGACTTCATCAATCTAACCCAATACATGTACTCATCTATCCAACGCACGCATCCACCGCCCACAGCTCACCGCGTGCGAACTGCGAGCCGCGTGCTCAGCACATGTTATTACAGCATTCCCAACATGTATTCCCAGCTTCTAGAAAGCGAAGCATGTTCGAATTCGCTTGTCAGTGAATTCATCTCGTTACATCCATCCATCCATCTATCCACATCCACATCATCTATCTCCGTGCAATGCAATGCACCGATACTTATTGACACGGCTGGCTGGCTCAGGTGAGTGGGATGGTGAGACGGTCTCCCACCTTGCTAGTTTGATATGCAGCTAGTGAATTATCTAGACTTATTTGGTAGAGTCGAGTAAAGTCTTGTAATCAGTAATTTGAGTAAAATGATCGACTGGTTCGAATAAGGACTAGGTATGTGCTGTATCATCATACTATTGGCGAGACTGGACTAGGCTGGAGCTGGGGCTGCCGCTCGTATTTAGCAGTTGTACATGTAGGCAGCAGGCAACCATTACGGGAAAAGGAAGCGAGTTTGGGAAAACATTCCATGCTTCGAGAAGGATTGAAATCCTGTCTAGTTTATTTAATAGACTTAAATCAACTCGATAAAATTTATCATAATGAATATTAGATGATTTAATAAAACCAATAAAAATGTTAAAAAATATTTAATTATAATATTTATATAATAATATATCATTGAAAAAGATCTTCTTTAAGTTTAAAATTCTATATAACAATATCTAAATAACAAAATTATTTAAAATGATATTTCTATCATTTTCCTATTTTAAATAAAAAAACAAAAAACTATATGACTTCTCTCGTCTTTCAACTCGACTCCTATGTTCATTAATTTGAATCCATTGATTGATCGATTCAACAATCCAATCACTATCTCCCCAATCTAAAAATCCTTCCTAGTCCTTCTAGAAACTTTCCTGTTTAGTCTTTAGTTACTTTATCCATGCAGGTAGTCAAGGCATTGACCATCTATCTACCTAGTCATTCATCTTGTTATTCATTGAACACGCAAATTGCATACTCCGTAGATATAGTACTACAGAGTATGTAAGAAATTGATTACTGGCTAATCACTTTTCTATCCTAATACCTATCTAGTATAGCATCTGTGTATGTATTCCTATAGAATGTCCTTCAATCCATACTCTGTATATACGGCAATACCGACAGTGAAAGAGTGTCAAATTTGTATATTTTATCTGTATTTTGTTTATACATAGTACATGCATATATAAAGATACGTACACAATACAGATAACGAACGAGTCATTCCACCAACGATAAAAGATCGGAAAGTCTGCTGATGAGAAAATCATAATATGCAAATATCAATAAATGTGAAAATTATGAGTCAATCGGATAGTACGAAGTAATTACCTGATACCTAATATCTATGTAGTATTTTATCTTTCACTTGATATATTAATATAGGATACTATACGTATGTATTATGTACAGAGAAGATAGAGAGATAACATGAGGTATCATCATATCACACTCGCTATACATTACATTATACATTATTATTGCACAGTTAATTATTCCAGAAAGAAATCCTAACAACACCTACCTCCTAGTACATACTCCATACCATACTGCCTGCAGTTCCCTCCCAATACCCATCCTCCACTTACAGAGTACCAGATACATAATACACATAGAGTACACGAAGATAATCAACAAGGAAAACCCCAGCAAGACCACCATGAAAAGAAATAGCTTTCTTGACCGACATGACACTCACTAACTGACTGACTGATTGATTGACAGCGTGGTAATTAATTGGTCGCGTCACTTAGCTGTCTGTCTGGGCAATGGGGGCGTGACCTATGACTGATTGTATGTACCTACTGTACTAGGTTTGGTAGGTACGGGGTATTAGGTACGGAGTTAGGTATGGAGTATTAGGTATTCATCAGATAGAATGCAACGAGCTGGGCGACCCTCATTATTTCGGAGAGGAAAACCAGATAATCGAAAATTGAGAACTGAAAATCAGAAAATCGCACCTCCAATAATAATGGGATGGAGTCTCGTTCCTATGATAATCGCATTACTATACCGTTTCATATCATACTCCGTGCATACATACATAGTATGTACGTAGGTACATAGGTACATACAACGTAATAAACCAAGTGCCAACAACACCACACCACGAACGCGGGGGACACGACCCGAAGAGGAAAAAAATCCTCATCATCACTGATCAGATATTCAATTTCCCAAGATTTTTACAGAGTAATCACCCACCTACCTATACCTACCTAAGCATGAAAAACCACACACACACACAAAACCAACCAACCCCATCTGCCCATCCATCTACCGAGTCATCGACCACTCTCATTTCACTACGATGGATGGGATGTTTTACATTTTGATGATGTGTTTACCATGTGTGTGTTTAACCTTAGTATCTGTCACCTGATGAATGACTATGCTGAGATTTGTTGTTAGGTACTAGGTAGTTAGGAGTTGGTTCACCAGTTGTTACGGTCAAGCCCAAGGGATCTATCTATCTCGGAATACTATTTTCGCGCTGAGTTGTCTCATTGCAACTGGATTGATTTGGGGGAATATGAAGCTCTCGTGATAGTCTACCTGGTCGAAAAGTGTATCCTCGCATGCTATGTATGGTATGGTATGACCATGATACTGGCGAGAACAAGCGCATTGTGAAAAGGATGATTCAAAGGAGGGAAGGAAGGAAAAGATTTGATTTCGTGCTGGGTGACTGAGTGACTGACTTGGAAGCTCGGGCTTTTTTTTTCTGTCTGACTGACGCTTGCGTTTTGCAGCCTGGGGGTGATGTGGATGAGATTGACTCATCGATGATGGATTTTCGGACACACGAAATTGACGATACCCAAAACTCAACAAAGGACACCTTTTTTCCGTTGTCGGCGTTAGGAAAATGAGAAGTGGGATCATTATATTATTTTTACTTTTGGATCCGGATTTTGGAACTAATTTTGATGATTATCGAAAATTCTCGAAGATACGATACTTCTCGATGCATACTGAACGCTCGAGCGGAACAAGAAAACAAAAGTATCTCAAATCTTCCACTCTCGATTTCCATGAGGGGAAAGCGGATACTCACTTCCCTTCAAATCTGGTATACTTCAACCCGTAATCACGACGCCGGAAACGAGCATGCAAAAAAACGCCATCAAAGCAAGCTGCTGCATAATGCTGATACTTATCGCCACCCAACCAATCAATGGATAGCATTTCGAAGAAGCGGGGGATGCTTTCGATATGGTTATTGGCTGTGTGCTTCATGGATATTGTTTATTACTGTTTGTACGGAGTATGAAAATATTCTCCTATTTGCTATCAACTCTTTTATCGAGAGGCGTTTGCTATTCGAGATCACTCGGCCGGTGACAGAGCTATAAACTCGATCTCATCGAGAGTAATGCTTACGCTGATGAAGATATGACTGGTTTTGAAAGGCTGAATTAAAAACCCCTGTAGATAATATCTATTCCTTTCCTTGTCTCCAGATTTAGAGAGGGCTGATGGATTTGGCTGAGTGATGTTTGGATGGTGTTACAATAAGGTCATGAAACTGGTGATGATACGGGAAGCATGGAAGCATACGGCTAGTGAGAGGTTGAATCCGTATACGGCAACTTTCTCTTGTCTCTTAATTTATTTTGCCTCGTCTTGGTGTTGCATCTATGATTTGAATCCCCGCTTGGCAGAACGGCGGGTGAGACTTTGAGTGAGGGGTGATGGCAAGAAGGCAAACAATTGATGAGTAATTTCTCTTACGCGCCCGATACTAAATGTGAATCTGTACCTGGATACCTCGGACCAAAAGTTACGGTGTCGTGTTCTTGCCCATAACCGCCGTTTACCGACAAATGATTGAATACGAAGGAAGGTTGAGCGTAATAATGGTGGCAACCAGCTGAAGCTAGATTCAACTTCATCGTTCATCGTTCATCGGCATTAAAATCGACTTGGATGAAGCAAACTCTAGAACTCCTATTCATATTTGTCATTGGCAAAAACGGATGTACCGAAAGAGTTGCGCAATGGAGAAGAGGCTGAGGAAGTCATTCGCGTCTCTCGGACTCGTAGTATCAAAGCCATTCCCGCACAGCACAACTCATGGTCTATGCATCCGATAGTCCTGTAATGATTAGAAATCTCAGGTCAATTCAATTACATGAAAGAGGGGAGGAGGTTTGAAAATAGAACAGGAAGAAAGTTATTATTCGTATGCCCATGCGTTTCAAGAGATTTGCACCCCACATTCATCTAGATCTCGAATGCCGATACACTCTGTTTTTGAGCTGCTTATTATTTCTGTGAGTGTGAAGCCTCGGAAATCCGTCGTGAGAAGAATGTCCTTGTATTAATCGCAAGGCTATGCTTAATATTCATCACCGCTTCATTGCGACAGCAAAGACAAGCCGGGCTGAGTGATATCTCCTACCTCTCTCTGTGCAAGGCTCAATGTAGCCGATGATCGGGGAATGCTTGGTGTAACGGGTCGTCAAGGGGAATCTGAAATTTGAAAGGCCACAACCAAAAGCGACCAGGCACGCCTGCCATCTCTCTCTGTTGAGGTTGAGATTTCCTTGAATCATACCATATCTATGGATCAAGTAACACAGAAGACATAAATCTAGGGGCACACTGCACATTCTGTACGACATAGATAGAAAGTAGGTGTTCTTGTCAAGAGATAATGAGGCATGAAGCACAAATCAAATGGAAGGCTCGGAATTGCATGTTCTGTCTTGGAATACTGTAATTCTCTTCGCATCATTTTTTGAGTGGCGGAGGAAGAAAGATAATGCGATACAGCGATGCAAAGAAATGAAATATTCTCCTCATATCAAATCGAAGCATTTCAACGTTTTAATTTGTTTTTCCTTTGTTAAACCGTCAACTGACAGTTTATTTGATGAGCTTCCCGTAATCATAACAAGGACCACATTCTCTTCTTTCTTGCCTCCTCTGTTCGGATTTCTCCTTCTGTTCTTGTATTTTCTCGGTTGGCTTGGAAGTTTGGCTTGAATGGCTTGGAATTTGGCGATGAATGATTCAATCTGATTTGTAGGAATTGGTAAGAAAAGACTCATCGATGCAAATTGCTTGCTATTTACGTCTCTTACCCGCACCGCACGCATATTTTCCAGTCGGGATTAGAAGATTATCCTTGTCCTTGAAAGCGACGCGAAATGGTCTTTTTTCCCTTTCTCTCTTCCGTTCCCCCAGTCAGATCCTTCTGTCTATTGACGATGGATTGAAAATACTTTGGTTCCTTTGCTTCACCGTAATCAATTCTCTGTGCAATGAAAAGATTGTGACCATTCAGAAGGAATAGATTTGAAGCGCATCTCATTAGCTAAACATAACCATGCCGAACGATAGGAATTGTAACAAAACAGAGCCATGCCCGCCGTGATATTGAAAGATTTCTTCTATCTTCATCGACAAAATGTATGATTCCAGAAAGATTTAACTCGGCGGCTCCTTGAAGTCTGCAAATAATTATCAAAAACATTATAAACCAACTCAACTCAATCTCAACTCAATCTCAACTCAATCTCAACTCAATCTCAACTCAATCTCAACTCAATCATCAGTTTATTTGAATCTGTTATTCTCTTGTTTTTAAAAAAGTAAAGCGGAAAAAGGAAAAAAGTTATTTGTTTGAATTTACAGGAATTATTATTACTCTACTACTCATTCTTCATCTCTATCTATTCTACAGAGTATTTTGAAAGTTAACATTGGGCCCTTGGGAGTTCTTCATCTGGCTTCTTATTATTCTTATTATTGATACCATCTCTTGTTCTACGGTTTCACGGTTTCACGGCTCAACTCGAACATATATCATATCATTCATATCATACGAATCTCCTACGCTCGTCGATATTCTTACCCGCCCAAGCCCAAGACAGCCTACCTGCATTGCGACCAAAAGAATCCGTGGTTGACTGACCATCATTTTCGCCTGGCCGCCTTCTAAAACTGAGTACCACATCACTTCAGTCCGAGCATTATTCGACTCATAATCAAATCACATCAAATCAAATCAAATAAATCCAATCAATCTAAATAAATCCAACTAAACAGGCGTCAATCCAAATTTCCCCACGACTTACGAACTCTTTTGTACCATTTTCATCATTTCTACCTAAAATCAAGCCCTTTCGCCTTCGACTTTCTACCTATCTACCTTATACTCAATCCATTCTTCCTTTGCCACCTGATTCTTTTTTATTTATTTATTTATTTTTATCACTTATTCACTGTTTACTCTAAAAGGGAATCGAAAGAGAAAATATTCACACGACTTCTTTATTGATTTATTCATCGTGTTTTTTTATTCGTTGACAAATTATCCTCTTAAAATCAAAAATCAACTTTATTCTACCTCTTTATCAAACAAAAACAAACGGTCAATCAATCAGTCAGCCATCCCTCAAAACAAAAGGTAGCCTGATTTGATACTCTCTGGGGCGAACTTTCTTGCCTCGTACAGTGTTGGTTAGAGCTTAAAAGATTCACCACTACTCTCAGTACATTACCGCAAGCACACTATTTTACCAAGACCCAAACCCCTACACGCCCGCACGCTACGACACCGGCTTTAGTGGATCGGAAGTTCAGTCTCGCCACTTAGCAACCAGTCATATACCCCATCAATTTTAATCCCAAAAAGGTACCGTCACCCATACCTAAGACTCACAGCCTCACCTCACTCACTCACCTTACTTTTTTCCACATGTACCCAAATAAGAGTCAAATGTTAACTTCATCTTAAAAGAAAGGCTTGATCTGTCTATCTCCTATCTTCCATCTTCTATCTTCTCTCTTACTTGAATATCCATCGTGACTTCTGAGTCGAAAAGGATTAATTTAGTAAGAGAAAAAAGAAAAGAGAAAAGAAAAGAACAGACTCATACTTCGAGCGTAGACTTTCTATTAGTGTCTCGGTCACCTTCGCAATCTTCGCCTCTCCAAATCAGATCAACTTATCATTACAAACACATTACTCACTCCACTCAATTCCTTTGTTCAATGACAACCATCGGTT